TGAATGCCGGTGAGCCCCGGTTGTATTAAACATTTAAATACAACCGTGGCGATCTCTCAGTTTGTTCCGGTTCACCATGGATTGTCCCTTTACTTCACGGAATCGCAACGGCCCAACGCCGGTTTACCACGGTTGACTAAACCGTGGCAAACCGGGACACCGAACCGGGACTGTGTAAATGGGGCTTAAACCGCCCATTTACGACTGTATAACTATTAGCACTAGCAACAAAAAAGGTCTTCAAATCAATGAAATGACTTAAACCGAATTCTGATAGCGACAATATCATAATACCTTTAAGATGTTGCCAATCAGGGTTATAAATGAAAAAGGGAGACAAAAGAAAAATACTTATCTATTGAGAATTGAATTTCAATTGTATCTTTCTAGAATACGCTTTCTAGCGTCAAGATTACATTATGTAGCAGCTCAAAACCTCGATATTTAGGTTCATAAAAAAAAAACAATTAAAACAAAGATACTTTTTGTTAAATGGCAATTACAGTAAAAAAATAACTATGAGAGTGTTAAAAAGTAAAATAATACTACTTTTAATCATGATTTTAACATGAATTTACATCTTGCGACTTTTAAACGGCAGTGTTGCGACATTTAACGGTAGGGGAAATTCGTACGACATTTAACGTTAACATTGCGACATTTAGCGGCAAATGATTTTGGGACATTTAGCGGCAATGGTGCGACATTTAGCGGTAAGTGCGACATTTAGCGGCGTTGCGACATATAACGGCGCCACAGTACAGTTAAAGCGAGTGTATGGACGTAATAGTACCACTTGGTTTACATTTTGCTAAATTTAAGACAAATAATTTCACATTCAGCGCTACTTTTTCTCATCATAATTATCTAATAAGCCTTGTATACATTATTAAAACAATATAAAGCTTTCTAAAGAAAATTATATTTGTGCCATTTAATAAGACCGTGGGTAACCTAGTTTAAATCTTTTGCATAATTTCTAAGTCAGTTTTGCGTTGTTTCGTATGAGTCAACTTTTATAATGATAATTCTTAGTTAATTTCTAGCTTATAAATGAACAAATAACTTGACTTACTATAATGTAACAGTATTGAGCGCGTGGATAATTATTTGTTCATCTATTCAATATGATTTATATTCAGTAATGTTTGTTAATAAGTTAATGAAGCAAATCTAGCCAAAGACATAATTATTGATCGTCATTCCAAATGTGACTCACTAATGGTGACAGGATCAAATGAAAATAATATTTTTACGACTTGTAATCAAAACCTGTAGATTTTGATATATCATTTATCACGCTTAAATAATTCAGTTTAGGAAATTGCCTTGTATGAAAATATTGAGTACAGAAGTGGCAGAAATGAAAACTTATTTGTAAATATGCGCTTGTGTTTTGGATCATCATCTCCATGCATGTATATTGCTTGTATTAACAGGCGATGTTGTGCCATCCACTGAAATAACTTGATATAATGAATAATGTTTTCCATTATTATTTGTTGATGATTTAAATCAGACAAGTGTAAATTTCGTAGAGCGCAACACTTTCAAAGAACTTTGAATTGAGACATTTTGCCAAGTGAAAGTTGGAAGAAAAAAATGTGAAAACAATTACTGGACAATTTCCTCTAGATTGTATCATATGTTGTTTGAACATTTTGCTGAGTAAGTATTTTAAAATTCACACCAGATCCTAACCGTGTGGTCCGAGGCGTTTGTAGTGTGCCTCGGCACTCTAAGACGCTTGTTCCAGGAAAAGACTTAAATAACCAATGAAAATCCTATATATATTCAGTTCTTCTCTGCAAATTTTACAGGAAGTCAAATCGTTCACATGCGGTACTCGCCGAAAAAAAACTATTGGGCCATGGACCATGGTATCGGAAGGTGCAGCTTGGAAGATTATAATTATGCTACATGTTTCCTTTAATGTATTGACGTGAAAATGCGGATTTTTCTTCATTTTCTTAGAATATGGTCAAATGTCAACTAAGAAGATATTTTTATGTAAACATTTAATACCCTTTTTATGGTAAACATTGCAAATATATGAACAAAATTGGTGTGAAACTAAACGTAAAACATTGTTTCTTATGAAACATAAAAAAATGATACTTCTACATTTTTTACAATGTAAACAAACAAACACAGTTGGTTTAACAAACAAACAAAATGGAGACCATTTATCTTCAAGCCGCTAAGCTAAGATCAGAATGGTATTGGGGGTAAACGTTTTACCAAAGATGACATTGTCAGTAAAACATGTCCTTTCATTTTGGGTTGTTTGGCCCAGTAAATGTTTCAAAGTTATTAGGACCTACTGCCCAACGAATAAAAGTCACAATAAGTGCTCATAATCACAAATGCAACAGCCATGAACAACTGGATTGAAGTTTCCCTTTATGAAACATAGCTGACCACTTTTGGTGCGGCCAGTTTAATGCCAATGGCATTATTTGACCATCTTAGTTAAAGGACCTCAAAATGATGCTGCATTTCAAATATGAAAGCTCTCGACATTGTAGTTTATGGGAAGAAAATTTTGCCTTTTCCCCAAATATAAATTCTTGTAAAAATTGAACACCGTGGCCGGGAATTTTTTTTACGCCTGGGTCAAATTTCAGCAATTTTGACAAAACAAAGTATCATGTCAAGAATCTAAAGTAGAAAAAATGGAACCCTTCTGAAAGCCCAAAACAGCAAAACTGAATGTTGCAGGCTCAGTTTGATTGAGCCCGTTTACGGAGGCCAGTGGAAAGTGCAAGCTACTACCCAACCCCCCTAGCACCGGGATAACCAGAAATCAACAATAAAACATTTCACTGCTTAAACTTTAAATTTAGAAACATTTGCAGATGTGTTCGTGCGGTGATGATCATGACTTGTTCAATGTGACACGCTCGTGCAATTACAAATAAAAGCGGCATCTGGTCCCCAGTTAAGTAAAATAATGTAGACTAAATGGGACTAAATAGAATGGGACTTTATAGAGGAACAGAGGTTATGAAGCCTGCATATCACAGTCAGACGTCAATAGACAAAGTAAAAAGGCAGGCAACATATCCTTAGTGTGTCATACAATATTCAATGAGGAATAACGGAACAAGAAAATTATCAACAAGAACAAGTTAAACTACTACACACATTCAAACATCATTAATGTCATGTTGAACAATCATTTATGATCGAAAATATAACACCCATAATTGAATACACAGGGCGACTTTTTATGTCTTCCACACTAAACAAACAGCACCGAGGAGACAATAAAAATAAAAATGGAACATGTAAAGTTTATGCGGTTTATGTGGAGATGTTGTTCAAAGTAAAAGTTTAAGGACAGATGGATGCAGGACGAATTGTGATCACAAGAGCTCACCTTGTCACTTTGTGACAAATGAGCTAAAAACAGAAAATACACAAAAACCTATGACTACTGGGGCGGGTCAAATTTGTCTTGTAAAGTGACCTCCAGTTATGATCCAAAAATCATGGGTAAGGTTTCAAATAAACACATTTTAAATTAATATTGCATGCAGGAATTTTCTTAGTTTACAAAGTGCCATAACTCAGTCAATCCCATATAAGAGTTATCGGTATTGGAAAGTAAACTTCAGCTATGATTTCCAAGACATGTGACAACTGATATACCTGCAGCTGTTGTAAAGATAGACCTTGCATGTGAAATCCATTGTAATTTTATTTCGCACACCAGAACAATTTTAACTTTTACTGTACTGTGTACAGGACCATTCCTGTAATGCCCACCATAAAATGCCCAGGTGCTTAAGTAATGTGATATCTACCAGAAAAACAGCAATGGATAAAGGCTATCACTATATCTCACTTAAGCACAATGTGATTTTCTATGGTAGACTATACATATTGTCAATTTAGTGCTGTAACAGGTTAACTCCTTACACAATTTAATAGGAGTTAACTTGTTACTGCACTAAGGTGACTATATGTCTTTCTTTACATGATGAATAAGATCACAACATGTATGTTAACTAGTAAATTGACTAAATTCATAACTGTCAGTTCTAGAACAGTGCAACAGTTTATTCTGTAGAACTCTAGATAAAAGTTTGTTGCTTGTACCAAGCCTGCATCATGATAAGTATGCACAACTCTTAGGAATCCAAACACCAACAGATATGTCGGAACCAGCACTTGCAAGAACACCATTGTTGTGACTTATCTGTAAAAAACAACAACAATTTTCTTGATGAACTTAAGCTGTCATAGGAGTGACCGATGCCTCTGTCATCTCTATGACATAGAATTTTATATAGGTACATTTTTCAATATATTTGCAGGTGAGCATTTAAGCTAAGTTTGAAGAATGTCTATGAAGAAGTTTATAGAGGACAAAAATTAATGATGTGATAATCTATTTACATTTTATACATCAGTATATTAGTACTGCAATATAAATTTCTTTTAAGAAATGCCAATCAAGTAATGAAGGGCAATAACTCAATGGTGTACATGCCTATTTTGATATGTTTAATGAGCATCCTTTATCAACATACACTTCAATGGTAAGTTCTATGTCAATCTAATAAATCAGTTGTGAGATGGAAAGTTTGCTTTCAACAAGAAATGTGTCCAGAAGACATGATGCCCCCCCCCCCTTTCCTGTTTACAGACAGTCAGCATATCAGCTGGTCAGAGAGACAAATGGTCAGCCAGGTAGATAAACATCCAAGAGCAAATCTAAATGCTCCCCTCCTCCTAAATAACAAGGCATAAAAGTCTTCTTTTTTATAGTACATTGGGGCATATATCGAAAACCAATTGCTTGATTTTGATGGCATTCAATATGTCTCAAATCCTAATATTCATACATGTTAAAGGAATAGGAATGGATGGATTGATGTCTGTCTAATATAAATATTCATCATTTAAAAAGAGGTACCATGACAGTTTTTTTGTTGACATCAACCCTATGAGTGAGAAATTCGTGTTTTAAGACACTATTTTTTACTTGAGAAATAAGTTCATGGGCGCCGCCATTTTGGCGTTCTGTCATTCTCGCGAGACAGACGAGACCGAGATTGTGACGTGTTATACCCACTTCCGGTAAAGGTGTTCACGCTGGTATAACTGAAATATATCTCGATGAAGAACTTAATTAATCTTATTGCGTACATTATTTATTATTTATTAAAACATCATATGGAACTGAATTGCTTTAATTAATTAATTGAAGACGCCACGGCATTAATTATCATTTGTCCGATATTCAAGCTTGCTGATGATCCCACCACATGATTTAAGCAATGAATGCTTAGCTTTCAAAGATAAACCATTCAATGAATTTAATTTGGGTACTTTGAGAAACTTCTTCAAATTGACGATATGTCCTTTTATTTTGTACTTAATTTTCGCTAGATAAGCTGTCCGAATAGGGTACATAGTCGGTCATGTATCTTTTTCTCAGCGTAAAATATCAACTGAATCCAATATGCAGAGATCTGCTGAGTACGCGATTTTCCGACATTGACGCTAAAAATAAAATGGCGCAGGAAAATCGGCAGCTAGACTAATATCGTATGAAAACAATCCAATCTACTTACCCAATCCCTTTCCCACACAGATACGCATTTCTACTACTGTAAATTTAATCCAATAAAACAAAAAATCATAAATCTACTTAATATTTAAAATTATTATTGGTAACTGAAAAAACTGTGTTGCTATTTTATGAAATGCTGTAATTTACAGTATAACTTGACAGGTGCGGAACTTAATTTCCCCTAAGGTCATTCAGTCATGAAGCGTAAAAAAAATAGATGTCTATTTCGTCATTAGAAAATTTGACAAGGGTGATTAACCAATCAGGGCAACATTGTGCATGATCAAAAGGTCTGTCGGCACAGAGGCATACAAGGAGCAATAAAAATCGTTAGTACACAGTGTGACAGGAACATTTGGTGCAAATTAGGAACAATTAAAATGGATAATGCACAGTATTAGACATAAGTAGTAAGAACCAGCAATTGTGTGAATAAATTATGCAAATGAGATTTTTGAGCAGCCAATAAAAATGTTTTGCCTGCAGTTAATATTAGGCTACGATTACGATGTAAATAAATACCACGCAGCATCATACGTTGACAGACATGTTAACAATTTACTTTTCAAAAGAGTTGCTTATATTTTTGAAATGTGTACTAACATATGTTCACACCTTTTAATTTGAAAGTCAGAATCAAACTGCAAAAATTTAATTACATGTACTATTAAGAACACGTTTTAGTAGGATTTTTATAATAATGATAATTATCGCCGTTCAATAATTAACAGCCAATTATTCGTTGGTGCGTTTGTTTATTTAATTGCATTATTTGATTGTGAAACTTTGTTAAATAATAACATGTGTATTTATTAACTCTGTGAAATATTGTTTAATTACATTAAGATGAGACTTTAATGAACATAGCATTGTTTGGAGTAACGGGCATCACTGGCCTGAAGTGGTGCGACCGGTAGACGTTGATTTTTTATTTGTTTCTTTATTTTTTTTTATTTTTTTTTTTTGGATATTGTTACGTATTTTGAACCATAAAAAAATCTCCTCTACACCTCCTGTGACAAATCAAATTGTCTGGTCAATACTTTATTATATAAATATTTCGCTACGATTCAACTAGATTTTTCATAAATCTAAAGATGTGGGGAAATGACATCACGCGCACCTGTTTTTCTACTGCCAATACACAAACATGGCCGCGCCAACTGATTTGTAGAAATCGGTGATTTAGCGATTTAAATTTCGTTATCATTCGTTTAATATTATTATTTGGAGGCAGAAAATTTGCAGATTTATTATTTATAGTATTCGTTTTCTGAAATCAAGTTTTTATTCTAACCTTGTTTTTCCCTTTAAGTAACCTTATATTATGATCAACTATTTCTAAGAAATTGATTATTGGATGGGTTTTTAGATGGCCCCAACACAGTAGAGATCAAATGGAGACTCTAGCTTTATTGGTGTAGGAATACTGGATAGCTTACATGAAAGAATCCAAAGTCCCTGTCAGAATTCGAACCCACAGCAGCTCAAATTTCATCCGAAAGTTATATCAAAGTAACTACTAGAGAATTATCTCTGAGGCAACATCATTTTTTTTTATCTTCTGTTAGTATTTCAAACTGTAAGAAGTAATACCTACCCTGGCAATTTCACCGGAATGAACGTTGAGAGAGTTGATTATTGCTGGGTCGCTGCTGGGTTCAACAATTTTGATGATTGAATCCGAGGATGTGAATATACCTCCATCAGTGGGAACCAGTCCAGTAAGTCGACGTTCATTGCCAATATCAAATGTCTGCAGAAAAAGTCAGATTGGTTTATTTATTTTTGTATGATATCTAGAAGTATTGACGGCTGTGAATCATAGACCCACTAATGTTCAAGGTGACTTGGATACATTAAGAAAGGAGCAAATTTTGTGGCATAAAATACAAGGTGAATCACCAGATAGAATGGTTTTTGTGTAAAATGATGTCAGATAATGTGAACTATAAGGAAATCCTTTATACTTTTAAACTTAACAGACCATTCTGTCCTGTAAAAAAATTCAAAGTTTAGTTATGTATCACAAATATAACAGCAAAGAATAGTTGATTTCCCAATATAAGTTTATGTAGTTTTGACAATCTTCAGTTTGAATGGTCAAAGCCATGATGACCTTGGTCATTAACAAACAGACCTTAAAATCATCATTATCAGGTATCATCTAGAAATCATGACCAATCTTCACAGCCAAAGCTTTCTCTATTGGTCAGACAAGCTTTTAGTGATCATGGCCAAAATGACCTTGACCTTTGACCTTAAAATCAATAGGGGACATCTTCTAGTAATGACTAATCTCCATACTCTAGCCCTTAGGGGTTTTGGAGAAGTTTCTTTAAAAATATTTTGCTATATACATAAGGAAAACAAATGATCCTCAAGCAAGGACAAATTTTGACTTCAGGGCCATAACTTGAACATTTTTTTTTTCTCTTTTGTTTGCTACAGCAATGAGAACTTTTCATGAAAGGATTATTTTTTAACAACTTTGAAAGATTTTTGTACCAGGAAATGCTTGCAAAGTTTTAGCAACATTAGGAGATGTTCTTTAATACAAAAACTGATGGTGCACAACAGATACATCTACCAGGTAAGTAACAATAGCTCACAAAATGAGCTGTAAATAAATCATAGCAAAATTATTATGACACTGAAATTATTTAATAGGGTAATAATAAACATTAGATTCATTATCCAGTAGTTGCTGGTTTGATCCTCTAGCAGCGCAAGATTTCTCCATGACATTTGATCTAGGACATTGAGTTTAATAGTCATTAATAGTCATTTGTTTCTCACCGCTGATTCAGAAATTATGTAGGATTAGTAGTCTGTCACTTTTGGAGAAATTGTTAAATACTAGTTAGTTATCCAGCATGGCCTGTAAGGTGAACCAGCTGTCAAGCTATGACCATACATGTATTTAAAACAACGTTAAACAACCAGACAAACCAACAAACAAACATTTTCATTATGACATTGTGAACATTTGCATTAATCACCAATCAGACAATCATGCCTTATAGGCAGTAGCCTAAGCATATAATAATATATAACTTAAATGATAGCAGGAAAGTTATAACTATGACTCGATAAGACACAAAACCTCACCTTTATCAGACTCTCGTCAAAGAGACCATCAGTTGTATCCATCACATTTAGTTTACCAGCCTTGTCTCCCATCCATAACTGATTATTCTGGTAACTCATACTCGGTACAAAACTCTCAGTCTGTAACAAACAAAAACTGGCGTCTTTTAGTATAATAAATCTATGTTTATGATGTGTAAACATGGGTACAAGTTAAAACTGTGAGAAAACCTGAAAATCCTGAAAAGGTTATGATATTATTCAACAATAGACAAATTCTTTACAAAAATTTGTAAATTTATTTTTTCCCCTAATTATTACAGCAGCAGGCCTCCAGAAGATACCCAGAAAAACTACCATTGTACTAATATTTCAAAATCCCTCCTCAAAAACATAGTTTAAAGAAACAGAAATGACACTTCAAAATGTTCATATTTAAACATTCTTGCCCTAAAAACAGTTTGCTTTTACGACAATATACCTTCATTTTTTATCCTACGGAATACCTTCATCCAGGTTTTTTTTCTAGTACCATGTGATTGCACAGGACAGTATCGCGACCATTGATCCGGAACACATGGAATCCGGGATCGTATCAAACATAGAGGGAAACAAATAAAATGCTTTGATTTTGATATCAGTAGTATTTTATGGCACTAAAAATTATAACTGATAATTTCATAGTATACATGTATATGATTACCAATATATCGATTTAAACTTTAGCATGAAACATGATGAGGGCCTACTCATTGACGAAAATTGATCAACAACCTTGGGCGTACCAGATACTGGGATTTTTCCGAACTACTGTTGTGACGATGTTGAATGAATTATCCTCTGCTATTTATATTGGCTACTGCCTTAGTAAAGTAGTAGATTATGCAAAGAAAAAACACAATATATTGATGCTTTTGTCAACTAAATTAAGATGTCATTAATAATGGATATACACAATTAACTTAACTTAATCACAATTTATCATTTACTTGGAATTTTACTTCATTTTTTCCATTTTACCATCTGGAGGCAAATGGCTTTAAGGCCTTATCTTGGACGTTCATAAATCCAATCTTTAATCAAAATCAAGATATCACTAGCTGAAGCTAGAATTGTAAAACATTGTTTTTACAAAATTTTAATTGTTACAGTTTTCATCATACCTTAAACGTCTTATATTTTTTGCCTGCCACCCTGTCATATATAGCCACAGATTTGTCCTCACTTCCTGTAATAACGTATTTGTCGTCTGCTACCACACTCAGAACCGGTTGTGAATGGTAATGTTTCTTGATGCAATCATCTGGTGAGCGTGGGTCTAACATGTATAAACGCTTGTCAAAGCCACAGGCAGCAATAAAGTTTGGCTCGTAATAAAGGCCAAGAATAGCTGTTTTCAATCTGTAAATAGGTATTCAATTTAAACTGTAAAATGATGTTCAATTTAATCTGTAAATAGATATTCAATTCAATCTGTAAATTATGTATTATTAGATTATTAAAGCGATACTTTACCCATCTAAATGTAAATAGTGAGTGTACAGGTAAAAGTAATGTTATTTAAATAAATCGGAAAATACGACTCAATTATTATATGCCAGGTAGCATAAAACAAATATTTAAAAGATATTATGTAGTGAAAGATATTAAACAATTAGTTTACCCTTAAACATTTCAGAAACAAGAGGGCCATGATGGCCCTAGATCGCTCACCTGACCCATCAAACTCATCCAAACAATTACCTAGACAAGCATTCTGACCAAGTCTCATGACAGGTGAGTCAAAAATGTGACCACTTCAGTGTGAACAAGGATTATCCATATTTGAGCAGTGTGACCTAGTTTTTTACCCAGGTGACCCATATTCAAACTTGACCTAGAAATCATCAAAACAAACTTTCAGACCAATTTCCAGGATACTTGGATCAAAACAGTAGCAACTAGAGTGTTAACAAGATTTTTCTATTTTTAGCTCCGGTGACCTAGTTTCACATGCGATTTCGAACTCATAAGAGCAATTACCTAGACAAGCATCCTGACCAAGTTTGATGATAATTGAGTCGAAAATGTGACCACTAGAATGTTCACAAGGTTTTTCCATATTTGGGCGGTGTGACCTAGTTTTTCATCCAAAATGACCCATGTTCGAACTTGACTTAGAAATCATCAAAACAAACTTTCAGACCAATTTACAGGATATTTGGATCAAAACAGTAGCCACTAGAGTGTTAACAAAATTTTTCTATTTTTAGCTCCTGTGACCTAGTTTTTCATCCAAGATGACCCATGTTCGAACTCATCCGAGCTATTACCTAGGCAAACATCCTGACCAAGTTTGATGATGATTGAGGCAAAAATGTGACCTCTAGAGTGTTAACAAGGTTTTTCTATTTTTAGCTCTTGTGACCTAGTTTTTCATCCGAGATGACCCATGTTCGAACTCATCCGAGCTATCAACTAGATAAGCATCCTGACCAAGTTTGATGATGATTGAGGCAAAAATGCGACCGCTAGAGTGTTAACAACAAAATGTAAACGGACGACGGCCGACGGACAATCATCGATCCTAAAAGCTCACCCTGAGCATGCTCAGGTGAGCTAAAAAGAGATAGTTGGCTTATTGGCTAAACCAAGAAGTCCCTGTGCACTTAACTTCATTTAATGAAATGTGACCACATATAAAGTTTTAAGCTTATAACTAAACTAGTTTTAATGTTATGTTCCAATAAATGTGTGATGGATGGACAAATGCTCTTAGGAATACATATTTGTTGGAAATTTCCGTGGCCTAGTGGTTAAGATCAGTTGCACCTCACTGCTTTCGGTTCGAATCCCACCAGGTAGTTTGAATTCTTTCCATGAGGAAGCTTTCCTTCCAGCTTGCTTACAGAACATCAGTTGTTCTATTCAGATGCCTATTTATGCCTGAAATAATACACAAAGGGGCACCAGAGTTCTTTTACCAGTAATGCTGGAAAATCGGCATACATGTTTGACCTTTACAGTTTCAGTAAGACTTAGGAAATCTTATAGTAACATTGCCATTAGCAAAGTTTCAAAATTACTTATGTTTAAAACAGATCTTACTTTATTTCCGAACTTTTTGTGACAGCACCATTGTTGAAGTCCCACAGACGTATGAAAGTATCCCATGAGCCTGTGACAAGTGTGTCATCATATGATGCCATTGACCACACCCAACCCTGAAAAATTAACAAAACTATGGCTTAACTAGACAATACTGCAGACAGCAGATATTGGATATTACATGTATGTGTGCCTCTTTTGACATCAAATATTAAATTTGTAGATAGGATCACTCTGTTGTGCCTCATTGTAAATTTGCATCTAAATGTATAACACATGACAACATGCATCTTACTTGTAGCCCCTCCTTGAATTTTATTTGATAAAGAAATGTGAGATGTTTATAATGTTTAGAATTTGCACATATCAGTTTATCTTGTAATTCAGTTAAGTAAGTTTGGTTTTTGTGATAGAAGAGACAGGCTATCTGTGAACATACTATAGAAAGTGATATCACTTTTTCTGGATTTTAGGTACGCAACCTACCTTATGAGCTTTTGTCTCGGAGGCAACAATGAGATCTTTTTCTTGCCCCTCTTTTGCACAATCATATTTTGTAAGATCCACAATGTTAAAATGACGATCTCTTGAACCAACTGCTAAAAATTTCCCTTCCTGTAAAAGATCATTAGTTCAACAAATTAATGATTAAAATGATTTATAGAACTGTTGTAGAAGTCTAAACATCAATCTTTAAGCTAAATACAACTGTTTGACCACATGGACATGATTTAATAAATATCATTTGCAAAGGTCTACAAGGCAGTGCTACTTGGAAAAATATCTCAGTGCTACTTGGAAAAATATCTAAGTTCACTCAGGGCAAAAATCAAGTAAAATTTCATTCTAGGATTATATACCTAACATGTTGACATCCATTTATTATCTCAAAGGTATGCGTGAAGTCTCAAGCAAATACCTTCATTTATTGATGAAATAAAAAGTTGCACATAAAGAATTATATGTATGCAAAACTTAGGTGCAAGTGTGTCAAAAAGTTATATTAAAGTATAGTGAAGTTCAGAACATTTCTTCACCTTCGTGCAATAACGGGTTAACTCCTTACATAATTTAATAAGAGTTTACCCGTTACTGCACTAATGTGACGATTGGTACCTTCATTAAATGAACAACATCCACAGCTGCAAAAAATCCTTCCTTTAATATAAAATGGTTAAAGTGTTTGTCTGGGTTTGACCACAGCTTGTGAACTTCCTCACGCTCCATACATGCTTTATGCCAGTTGAAATCTTCTCCTATAATACATGGAAATGAGAATAGTTAATAGAATTATAATGAAGAAATAGATCTGAAATGTACCTGAAACAATTCTAATGAAATTGAGCAAGATCTTAGAATGAATACGGTAGTCATTTATCATTGACCTGATCTTGAAGTATATTTTAAACAAACCCTTTCACTGCCATAGGGACGGCTTAAGCCGTCCCTGTTATTTTTGGTGTATTTGCCATATGGACGGCTTTAGCCATTTCTATAATAATAATAGTAATAATAATAAATTAATAATAATAATAATAAAAAAAATAATAATAAATATAAAGAAAATTATACCATCAACAATAATTATTATTATACTAACAGATTTGGAAACATATATAATTATTATAATACTAATAGCAAATAATAATAATAATCATATTAATTAATAATATAGTAATTTCTTAGAAAACCCTCTGGCAGCGAAAGGGTTAACAAGCTTTACTGATCAGATTATAAGGAGATAAATATATAAATTTAAATCTTTCAAGTTTTAGACTTTCTATTCTTTACATTTTCAACCAATGCAGCTTGCAATGGAATTTTAAGTGTAACACTACAAAGTTTGCTAAAGCTTCTTTTCAATTAACCATTACACTAAATGAGCTGAAAGTGATTGGGCTTTGCCACCAGTATAAGGCCAGGTCAACCTGCATTTCTGACCAGGTTCTGTAATGTAGGCTGCATAGTTTTGGTATAGGATACTGAAAACCCTAAGGAAACTTTGAATGTACTGTTTCTAATTCAATGCAAGGCGAATCCCATACATAATTTAAGTAGGATAAGTGTTTTACACAACTACAGTTTCAGTAATTAAGTAAACTAAGCTTTAAAATCAAATTAATTCAGATGACTGAAATTTCAAAATCTACTACATACTTTCAAACACTGGATACTGCTTGGTCCATCTTTTCGAGATTCTCGTTCTCCAATACCTGTCACTGGAGAAAAGTTCATAGAACTTTTTGCAAGCACTATACAGGGAACGGCCTATTGTCCTGGATTCAAGGTACGACGCTATATGGATCAGAATTTCAGACGGCAAGTCTGTAAGAACTAAATTGTCTTCATCAAAATCTGGATTTTCAGGATTGTCCGCATTGGTGTTAGTATTTTCAGGAAAACCTTTGTTTATATCATTTATTAACTCCATCTTGTAAATTAGATCTGTGTCCACTCCACTATCTATCACAGAATTATTTTCACTCATCCTAAAATGTGTTTTGTCTTATACACATATGAATAGCTTTTTCAATTCAACACTTACTGAAAAATGAACAAAAACCATTTAAAATGACAGACAATATAGTTTAAATTAGTTTCTAACAAACCATGACATAGACAAGCCCAAAGTTTTCATATCAGATACCCAATATTGAATAAAATAAGCCACATCACAAAGTGCCAAGATGGCCCTATAAATTCACTCACCTGAGGTCCACTGTCACACAATCTATAAATTTATGAGAATATATATAATAAATAATAATAATATATATAATTAATTATATAAATTTATTAAATATATATACAAGAGCCATGTTTTGTTACACATTGATTAATCCCCCTGCCAGGAAGACGTTACCTGCAGTTTGTACTTTCATATATTTTACTTGAATCCTTAAAAAGCAGTACAGTTATGGTCATCTTGAGTACAGTTTTCAAGACAGTGGGAAAAGATGACAATGCAGTTTTAAGAGAACTTTAAATTGCTCTTATGCAGTTTGAAGAAAATCCCTTCAAAAAAAGTAAGGTACATAATTGTTCTTGAACACTACCAATCATCTAAATCAGTGTTTTAAGTTTGAAGAAAATCACTCAAGTTCTTTTGGAGTTATGCTTTGGACAAAGTTTTTTCATGTAAATCTGCTAAAGGGGAATAACTCAAAATGTAGCAGATAAATATGAGTAATTTGACTAATAAAAGATATTCATTATTGTTTAAGGTTATATTTATTATAACAAGACATGCCCATGGTCAGAATGTTGAGCCCGCTCCTCTTGATTCAAACCTGAACCTTTAAGCGAAAGATGTCTACATAGGTGAGATGTGCGCCACACATCCTATCTTTACCCAAAGCAAAATCTTGACATTGCATCATCTTAGAAGACCTCTGACCCTGTGACCTTGTTCATGTGCATGACACAACGTCTCATGATGAACAGTTGTGCCTAAAAGAGTTGAAATGCACACACAAACACTGAACAGCCATTTTGACAACTATGTCCAGCTCAGCACAAGCAGGTTTGACAAAAATCCTCGGACCACTAAATAGAATGCTTCAAAGTATAAGCATGATAAAGTGCAAACAAACAAATTTTGATATTTTTATTTGACCTCTGACCTCTTGTGACCTTGATTTTCATAACAAAATTATATTCAAACCTTAATTTAAAACAAACGCACATTTCTCTGTCACCTAAACATGTAATAAAGATACAATAGATGTAACTGTATTGGAAATTTACAAATATCATATCAAAAATCGACATTCTACCTCTATATTTATATTGTTATAGAAAATATTTTGACAATAAAGTTGAAATAGAATCAAATTGTCAGCATCCTTCATTCTACCATGGTTGATGATTCTCTGTCTACTAATACATCATCTCCCCCTCCTGGTACATTTCACCTTGATCTCAGCCTGTCAGTTGTAGATGACAATGTATCCACTGTGTCTGACTCCAACAACACTCCCTTTGATGTAACAAGAGCTGATCCCCCTAATACTACAGCGTTTATGAATCGGTATGTAATGATTTTCATTTTAAAAGTGGAGGTCAAACGTGATGTAAGTTTACAAAAAAAATAAATAAAATATTCAGTCTTTAGTTAACTGTAAAAAGTAAAAGTAAAATAATAAACAAAATTATGAATTGTTAATGATGGATCTAGAAAAAAATTCTTTACAACTAATTAAGTTACTTATATTACAATACAAATCTGGTATGTCATTTTTGCACACATGTACTATAACAATGGTTTCATTTTACAAGGTTTGAAATAATTATAATAATCAATTGTCTTTATATTGTGTCATACTTATGTGCAATTGTAGGTGAAAGTAGAAGCCCTGAGAGATGTTCATTCAGAGACAACAGGCTTTGTAAATCGCCAACTGTTATCCCGCTTTGGACCAGAGAAGGACCTTGTAAAACTGAAAACCTCTTCATTGGTCAGGACAATGGACCGTGCAAGAAAGAATCAACGCCCTTCTGAACCCAAACCAGACAATCTGTTGGACTTTGAGGTAAATTGTTATATATATTGACATTCTTCATTTAAATGCAATGTATTAAGCAGGGATCGTGGGTGCGAGCCCCACCAGGGTCACGACCATGTTTCCTCATAAGACACTCGAATTCGCAAGTGATTCAAATAAGTTGCAAGCTTTCTTACAATCGAGCTAAACAAATAATGTTTAAATTAAGTAATAGAGAACTCAATGAAAATGAATAATAATGATATAACTGGCAGAGAGAATGACTATTATTTCTCTCAATGTGCCAATATAGAAAAAAAGACTAATTTACAAAAGTATAGTTTTATAACCATATGAAAATAAATGTATTATTTTTAATAACAGATTGACACCAAATTCTTAGATGAAGGCTTCTACAAAGGTGATGTCTGTGTGGCAGGTGCTCGTCACCTCATCTTTGCCACAAACAGCCAACTCTAGTTGCTACAACGATCAAGAAAATGGTATCTAGATGGTACTTTCAGAGTTGTCAATAAGCCATTTGTGCAGCTATGGGGCATTCATGCATTTGTACAGCAAGGGCAGTCAGCAAAGCAGGTACCCTTGGCAAGGCGTCGGAAACAGGACTATGTTGCTGTAAGTTTAGTTTCTTTTTTTCAGTATTTAATATTATATATGCATGAGTGGACATTCTGACAATTGGAATATGAGTTTCAGACTTTAATATACATATACATATTAATTAAACCAAAAATTAAACTTCAACTTCATTTCTCATGCATTTAATGTAATATTGATTCTTCTACATATTCCATTTCATTGCAGGTCTTAGAAAAAATCCTGGAACTATTAGATGAGGCTACTTCTGTTGAGTGCTTTACAATATGGACTTTGAAATTGGTAATTTTTCACTATATTTAATTAATAACTTAAGTTAATCATTAAACTTTATTTTATAACTCATCATTCATAATTCTAAATTTCTATTTAAATATTCTTTAAATATATAAACATTCCATAAATTCACATATTGCTTTTTTCATACACAACAAATAAATATAAATAATATAAATGATGTACAAACTTTGTTCATTTCTGTGATAACTTATTCATTCCGATAGCATATTTGTTTTTTCATTATTTCGGGTCTCTGGCAAGCCCTGCGTCAGATTTTTCCGAGTGCAGCACTTAGGGGGTGTTCCTTTCACTGGGCTCAAGCTGTACAGCGACGTGTTCAGGAATTGGGGCTCAGCGCAACTTACAGGGAACGAGGGACTGTACACACCCTGATTAGAAAACTGCTGGCACTACCATTCATGCCTGGACAACACATCAGCAGGGCCTTCAACAGACTACGCCAGAGGGCAGACACCAGCAGTAAGCCAGTTGCTGATCTCTTCACTTACATTAATGATCAGTGGATTGAAAGAAGTCTCTGGTCACCAGAAGAATGGTCAGTGTACCGACAGCCGGTTAGAACCAATAACGATACTGAGGGTAAGGAAATTATTATATATAAACCTTACAGTTCTTTCAACACAAATACATTGTATGACATTGAGCAGAAAAAAATTCTTGTTCATATTTATTATTAAGTATGTATAAGTGAAGTGTATTCATATGTAATTTTATTTTGTAGATGTGATGCTTAATTATACTCATTCACTTTATAACCAAACTATCCTTGACAAACATTGTAACATATTTTATTAAATGATAGTGTTTGACAAAAATCTGATGAAAGTGTATAGTAAGCAAGTTTAATCCATGTTTCAGGTTATCACAGAGCACTCAACAACAAAGCTGGTTGTGGCAAGCTGGCATTTTATGTCTTGATACCTCTCCTTCACCAAGAAGCGAAAATGGTGGATTATACCGTTAACCTGGTTGCCCAAGAGATTATTGTGCGTATACGAAGACAGATTTATAAGTCAATGGATCAGGACATTTTTTCCTTATGGGATTTGTATGATGAGCATGAGCTCAGAGCCGAGGAATTCCTTGAGCAAGTGGGGGAAATATATGGACGAATTGTTAAGTGAAGTGATAACTAATGATTAGATACATTCCTGGCAGAGACATGTAATATTCCCAAACCCAAATGATACTAATCCCCATTATATGTGATAATGACATTAAAAGACAATCATGCAATATTCCCAAATGTCCCGATTATACTTAAATGACATAAAATGACATTTTGAAGTCTTACAATATTCCCAAAAAGAAATGATACAATGTACTTCTTCTCCATGACATTTTGTTGAAGTGACAATCAAGCAATGATAAGGTGATAAGGATAATTAAACAGTTGTACATGTTTGCATAGAAATATCAAGATTATTATGGGCATTTCCCTCAATATAAATTATGTGCTATTTGATTTGATCATGGTATATGTACTGTTATGTTTTGTAAATATGACATAATAAATAAATAAATAAATATACCGACTTTTTTAATCTTTTTTACCCATAAACATGATTATCATTTATGAGGGGTGAATTGTCTTATCTATTTTGAGGGGTGAACTGTCTTGAGGGGTGAGTTGTCTTGCTTTTTTGAGGGGTGAATCGTCTGGGGGGTGAGTTGTCTTGTTACCGAAAATTTGTACCAAATTATTTTGTCTCAATCAAAAAATCAAAGAATGAGCAAGATATAGACCATACAAATCCGGATGGACGGACAGACTGACACACATACACCAATATAACGACTAAAAGTGACGACTATTTCAAGCTCACCGCAAGCGGGCTCAACAAAAATGCTGTACCCTTAGCCTAAAAGGTGTGTATAGGGCTAAGGCTAAGTAGTCGTATTTGACTCACATACGGCTAGAACTTTTGGCTAGCACTACGGGCCAGCAAATTATTTATAATACACCAATTGACAGTCTCTATATGAACTACGTAAATTATAAATAACAGAGGTATATCGAGTGAAAAAACATGAGTTGTTTCCCTTATCTTCGAGTAAAGTCGATATCTCTAATGCTTAATTTAGCCGTTTTTAAACTGCTAGTTTTGGGCGATTTAATATCCGTTTTTAAAATACATATAGGATACACCAATGAAAAGCTTGTGATCTTAGTTTCATCTCAGTATATATTTCAACAAATTGTTTGACACTGAAGGTATTTAAATTTACGGTTAAACTTAACACAAGTCAGACGATTTTACATACGTTTTATACAGTGGGATACGCAATCGTTTATCTTTAATACTCTCAATTCTACTGATAAGAATAGATTGTCGTCTGCTTGTTCGGAAACTGTCAATCCGTGTATAATACTATTGCATTCAAAAGTCTGCTCTGTTATATTTTGGAAGTCACAACCAAAATTCGAAGTATGAATCCTTAACTTCCACTTTCTATCACACTGTTCCTAAATCCATCATTTTGCAAAAAAAATTCAGACAATTACAGACAAAAGAGAAAATGTATGCATGGCCCAGTTTACCTGCTATGAAAAAATTAGGAAAATGCGAGCCGTTTCAAATACCCCTCCCCCTCTCCCCTTTTGATCGGTGTAACAGGGGCAATGAAAAACACGGTTTGAAATCCCCCCCCCCCACAAAAATATGCACATTTTTTCAAATAGATCTAATTTCTATTTCTGTTTTAATGTTTAATGTTTTTAACAACTATTCTAAATTTAATAAATCATACCTTCCTTTATACCTGCATTGTCATAAGTGACTAATTTGTAATAACGGCTTATTTTATTATTTTTAGAAATGTACAAATCGTTGTTTACCATTTCGCAGATTACTCATGATCCCAATCGCATCTTCTCGGCCCTTTCCGTCAAACTTCGGATGAGAATAATAGCCGAGGTGTTCCGATTGGTCCAGCGTTCCAAAATTGCCGCATTGATCTCCCCTTACAGCATCACATTTTCGTCAAGATTTTTGACGTTATGAATTTTTACAATTTCATTTATTTAAAAACGTAATCACTGTTTTACCATAGGTGTTCACGTTTTTACGCGTTGATTGGTCACTACCCCCCGGGCACCTCCCCTCCCCCTTACCCACTCTACAACCCTCCAACCTCTCAAAACCATGTAAACTGCAGTATTTTTCATTTGAACCATGTTTTAATATTTGGTATAAGCTTTTAATTCAATTTCCTTCTTTTCCCACAAAAAATAGAAAAATTGATACATATATATTTAGTAAAGATATGCAACTCGCCGCTCATTTTATTCACCAATTTTCAAAATCTTGGTACCAAATGGTACGTACGTAGGGAATTTATTACTCTTAAGATATGTATGGTGTCATTCGTGTTTTCGCCCCGCGACTCCGCCATGCGAAAAGTCAAATCACGTTTCTAATTAGCGAGGGCGCGGAGCGAAGTTTAATGGGGGGGGGGGGGGGGGGGGGCGGAGCGAGATTTATAAATGAAATAAAACGTCGCGTTCGCGGGACGAAAACACGCTTAATAGCGGGGCGTGGGGCGAAGTTAAATAAATAGAAAAAAGAAATAAAACGGCGGGGCGCGGAACGAAACCACCCACTATTAAGCATATTTTCGTCCCGCGACAACGCCAAGCGAAAAGTCGAAAATTAACAAAATAAAATGGCAGGGCGCGGAGCGAAAAGTCGTTATGATTGGCTAGGGCGCGCGGCGAAGTTTAATAACAAAAAATTTCGCCCCGCGTGGGCGCGGAGCGAGATTATAAAAATTAAACGGCAGGGTCGCGGGACGAAAACACGCTAATTAATTAGCGGAGGCGCGGGGCGAAGTTTGATAAATAAAACTTTGCCGCCACCCCCACTAATTACCGTGTTTTCGTCCCGCGACCCCGCCAAGCGAAAAGCCGATAATTTACAAGTTATAATGGCGGGGCGCGCGGAGCGAAAACAAGCTAATTAGCAGAAGCGCTAATCAGCGTGTTTTCGTTTCGCGCCCCCGCCGTTTTATTTCTTAAATCCCGCCCCGCGCCTCCGCTAAATAGCGTGTTTTCGCCCCGCGCCCCCGCCGTTTAAACTTGTTAATTCTCGACTTTTCGCTTGGCGGGGTCGCGGGGCGAAAACACGAATGGCAGAAAAATCACCCACCATCTATTCTCGAAGTCACCGCAAGTGTAAGTCGACAAAGACCTGACCGCTGGGTTTTTGTCAAAATTACACGACTAAACGGCAGCTTATTCGAAATGAATGAATATTTTTTTGTATTGCGCATAGATAAAATTATATCATTGTTTGTAATTACTGTTCAATCAAAAAATCATATGAAACTATAACGAACCTTTTTTCCGTTTTGTCAAATTCGGAATCGTAATGCAAGTAATGGTTCTGCAGATCCTTCCGTCGTCCGCCCGTCCGCCCGTCCGTAAACTTTTACTGTAAACGACATCTCCTCATAAACCGCTAAGCCATTTTATCTAAACTTCACAGGAATGTCCCTTTGTTGGTCATCTTAAAATTTAATTCCATGCAAAACTCTGGTTGCCAAGGCAACCAAAAGAAAAAAACTTAAAATATCTTCTCTTAAGAAACGCAAAGAGCTATAGAGCTTAGATATTTGGCATAAAGTGTCTACCAGGTTTGTTCAAATAAAAGCCTTAGGGTCAAAATTGGCCCCGTCCCAGGATGTCATTGATTTCCCTATATGTATATAGTAAAAACTTAAAAAAATATTCTTTAAAAAAAAACCAAAAGAGCTAGAGCTTAGATATTTAGCATGAAACATCTTGTAGTGAGTGTCTACCAAGTTTGTTCAAATGAAAGCCCTGGGGTCAAAATTGGCCCTGCCCAGGGGTCATTAATTTTCCTATATATATTTATAAAAACAAAAAAGGGCTTCTTTAAAAAAAACAAAGAGCTAGAGCTTACATGTTTTGCATGAAACATCTCCTAGTGAGTGTCTACTAATTTGTTAAAAAAAGCATTGGGGTCAAAATTGGCCCGCTTCAATTGATTTTCATTATATGCATATACAAATGTAGTAACAACAAAAATGTCCTTTTAAAAAACCAAAATTAATTAAATTAATTGAGTACTCTGACTCAGGTGAGCGATTTAGGGCCATCATGGCCTTCTTGTTTGTTCTTTCCGTCAATCTTTGGATATATCACGGACTTTAATCGACAAATGATCAACATTTCAATGATAAAAAATGACAATTTTCTTTTTTCAGAACGTTACAAAACAATACAGAACATTACATAAATTTTATACAAACAAATACTTGTACAAAACACACTTTCTTATTAAACTATTCGATAAGTAATTAAAGTTGCAAAAATTTTAACCAATTTAAAACAGTAGGGCTACATGTATAAATTTAAAACATTGTCTTTTAACATGCACATACATATGGTGGCTGATTTGTGCCATTTGTGTTCTCGCGCCGCGACCCCGCCAAGCGAAAAGTCGAAAATCAACAAGTTAAAATGGCGAGGGCCGCGGAGCGAGCTTTAAGAAATAAAACGACGGGGGCGTGGAGCGAAAACACCCTTATTAGCAAGCGCGCCCTCGCTATTAAGCGTGTTTTCATCCCGCGACCCCGCCAAGCAAAAACTCGACAATTTAATAACAAGTTATAATGGCGGGGGCGCGGAGCGAAAACAGGCTAATTACTAGTAGCTAGGACGGGAGGCGAAATTTGTATAAATAAAACTTCGCCCCGCGGGGGCGCGGAGCGAGATTTAAAAAATAAAACGGCATGGTCGCGGGATGAAAACGCGTTTATTAGCGGGGCTCGGGGCGAAGTTTATTAAATAAAACTTCGCCCCCGTTAATGAAAGTGACCCCGCCAAGCGAAAAGTCGAGAATTAACAAGTTATAATGGCAGGGCGCGGAGGAAAACAGGCTAATTAGCGAGGGCGCGGGGCTGAGTTTTTATAAATAAAACTAATTAGCGGGTTTTCGCTCCGCGCCCCCGCCATTTTAACTTGTTAATTCTCGACTTTTCGCTTGGCGGGTCACGGGGGGAAAACACGAATGGCACAAATCAGCCACCATACATACAACATATTGTTATTAGTCGCCGGTAGAAACCGGCGACTATATTTGTAACAGTTTAATATTATATCTATGGTAGGAGAAGGCCTTAAAATCTGAATATAAAAACAAACTTATTACTGAACAATAAAGGACCACAATTATTTTTCATGATCTTAAAAATTCAAACATAACGTAAGGTTGCTAAATGAAATGAAATAAACAGATATTGACATCTTAAAAAGCAGCATTACAATTTTCACGAAATGAATTAATAACGTATCCCTATGGACCAGTCATTGAATTTAGGGATACTTTTACTTTTTTTCTAAGTGTCAAGCGTTGCTATTTTATGATTGATAAATCATGAATGATATTTGAAATGACACATTTAAATTATTTATCTTTTTAAATTTATATCTTATGAGACCTATTATATTTCATTATTTTATCTAATTATAAACAGATTCTCCCTGTTCAATTGTAAGAATCACATGACTACACGTTGTATGTCAATGTTATAGAATCTATTAATAGTAACAGATTGCTGATAAGACATATGTAAGTATCTTGTGATTAGTTGGAAAACGGTATGGCGTCTGATTAGATGCATATGTATAAATAATTACAAAGCTATTTTTGATTAATCAGTTTCATATTTTATATCATTAGAAAGGTTTGTATACAATGTACTCATAATATTTGCACATTAAAGAATTAAATAAGTTTTCAAAACCTTTTCATTTTTTCTTGGTAAAGGGTTAAACTTGGCCCTTTCTGTCAACGTTCAATAGTTTAGTTTAGAAAATAGATTAATGCGAAAGAGGCACATTTATTGAAATAAAGAAAAGGTTATCGTCGTCTTCGTTATATATTCGTTATAACGGTATGACGGATGAATTAGATACATAATTAAGAAAACAAATAAAATATCTTTCTGTTAATATTTTATCGAACTGAAAGGCAATTAAACGTTAACTATATCGTATGTAACAACAGGAATATTGATTTCAACTAAATAATTTATTTTTTCGATAGCGCAAAAAAAAAAAAAATGCAGATACCACTTTTACGGTAGAATTGCATTGTTTCATGCAATAATTAAACAAATATTCGATGACCGTTGATTTTTTTGCAATAATTATTGGATTCTGAACTATACAAAACGGATTTAGATGTCTGGTATAACGGTATATGTATAAAGGTAGAATTACAAGTAGAATTACATAAATATCACTCGCCTTACAAAATAAATCAAAATTATGAAATAAAAAAAAATGCTAGAAATGAAACACGATTTATCAACGTATGTTTCATATAATTAACAGGAGTAATAAAAAAATAGTTTAACGAAAACTGCAAAAGGGATTTTCAAAGATTCGAACTTGGCCTACTAGGTCTCAACTTCATCCTACTTACCACCTTTTAGGCCATCAAGCAAAATTAATTGATTTAATATCGAGATATATACTATCAATAAAATCTTTAGCATAAATAAGTTACGTAAACTAACGAAACACCTCGTCTCAGGCTAATATTGCCAGACTTTACTTGCTTATTTAATAATCATTGCAGTTCCTTGACAATATTGCTAAGCAAGTTTGATTTATATATGATGCTTTATTGTAAATAAACAGTCACTCAACATATTGTTCCTCTTTTCTGTATACTTGAACCATTAATTAAACTGATATTTTCTTATATTTATGATAATGCAGTCATTTTCTATCCGGCGACTTGATGCTTTAGCATCAAAATCTCTACTTGTCCAATACTGATACTATGCAAGCAATGAGTCTCAAGGTAACCACGACTTGCCGATCAAAAGAAATTGTGTACGTAAATTTTATGACAACTACCTTTGGTACCCTTGTTGCTGGAACCGAAATGAATAAACCAGTACTAGCTAGTATATAAAGCAAACCAGGCTGAACATCAGTGCAGTCTGTTCAGTTTTCTACATAAAGCACATATGTAGTTAAATTACAAACTTTTTAAAAACAGAAAGATATTAGTCCCAGTTCAGATTGATAACTGACAATTCCAAAAAGACAAAAAACAACACAAAAAACTTGAAAAGTCCATTTTACAAATTTAGTATGTTAAGGATTAAGCTTGGAAGTCTGTACATGTATAGTACTTGTTGCTTGTTTCATCACTGTCGGCAATATTTTTTTTCTTTCAGCCCATCGCATCCTATTGGCAAATATCTACATTACTCTTACAAACTTCAAAGGCATTTTACTCCTATTTACTTCCCTTGCATTTCAATATTGATATATCGTCAGCTTAGTGCAGTAACGGGTTAAGTCCTTCTAAATCGGATAGGAGTTAACCAGTTATTGCACAAATACATATGGCTCCGAATTGTGCTTTTTAAATTAAACGAACGATTTTTTTATTGCACCGACCAATCAGCGCTTAAAAGATCTAAAATGCTTCAATCAGGCATTAATTTAAGGCATTCGTGATTATCACTGTGCACTCGAACCCGTGCCGCATACCGACCCTAAACAACACTTGCAAGATAGATATCTATCTCATGAACAATTATATAATAATTGTACAAATTATACAAAATAAATATAAACAACATCTTATCTTAAAGACTTTGTATACAGATGAATTTCTTACTACTAAATTGATGAATTCAATTTGATCTCCAGATGTGTTTATTACAGATCCTGCTCATTTGTATGGGGAACCCACATCTAGAATGTATCTGGGTGGTGAATTCACACATAGAATGTATCTGGGTGGTGAATTCACACATAGAATGTATCTGGGTGGTGAATTCACACATAGAATGTATCTGGGTGGTGAATTCACACATAGAATGTATTTGGGTTGGGAATCCACACATACAATGTATCTCTGCTGTGAAACCACACATAAAAAGCATTTGGTTGACGGTTTGTAATACTGAAATGAGCGACTCTAAACTTTATCCCATAAAATGCTGTTATATTTAAAAAGTTATGGAAGGAACTAAAAACTTGATTGAATTTTGTTTTTGTCCCATGCAGATCACAAAACTTGTGACAAAAGTCACGTGGTATAGACACCGTGATATGCAATTTAAGGGCTGGCTATTCCCATTGTTAAACGAAAATTTCTGTTTTATATCATGTTAATCGTTCCGACAATTTTGAAGTTTTGTTGATCAAAGAATATGTTCTAAATGCGCTAAACGATTGTTCTTTTGATGTTAAACGCATGCTTTTATTACCTATCTCAAATTAAAAAAAAAGTTCATATACTTATGTCATTCATTATCTGCTATTTGCTTGTACTTTAAATGACATTATGCTATAAGAGTGAATTGGTCTATGGTGAAAGTTTTGTAATACATGTACCATAAATAATGATCTTGGTGGTAATTTGTATCATATACGTAACACACCACAAACGAATTATATATGGATATTGTTGGTATGGAGATTTAGGAGCCGGTATTAATACCAAGGTATAGCCGATAATCAGTTTAAACTTTATTTTATGCTAATCCGTCATATTTTTACTTTTGTGACGTGGCTTCTAATAAAAGCGTCCATTGCTGCGTTGTTGATGATATTGTTGTTGTTGTTGTTGTTCTAGAACAAAACAATACTTTTCATCATACAAATTTCATACCAAAACACTAAGGACTCTATCTATATAAAATTACATTAATTTTGGTTTTATCACTATTTGAAACACTTTTGGGAATTGTGCCCCCACCATTCACACCCTTGTATTCCTTGTAGCAGAGAGGTCGCCTTAAAAATTCAGAATTGCATCCGCCGTTTATCGCTGCGGGATCGTAAGAGGCGACTAAATGGGTTCGAACTATTAGTCTGTGCATGTCTAAGATCCTGCAGTTGAGGTAGTTTCGACCCCTGGTGTTGCTTGAAGTATGTAACATCCGAGGTTCGCTAAAATCATCTTTCCTGTTTCAGTGCTATATGGACTAAATTGTGTTGGTAGGCCGTAAAACCAAACCAAATTAACAAAACGAAACGAAAATGTGAGCATTGTAGACCAATCCACTTTACATGCGTGTTTTGCTTGGGTTTGATTATACTATATGAATTGATATGGTTATACATCTTTATGTTATATATTTGATATGTAGCTATATGTGTATTAGTTTGATATAATGATTTAAATGTTACTATGATCACTATAATACAGTGAATATTGTGATGTTATTACCTTGTTATGTGACGTTGATATATAAGTGAAAGATACGAGTCACGTTGTTGGATTACTTCTTAAAGGGACTCCACTGAGTTTTTCATTTATTTATTTTTTTGCTTTCTTTGTTCTTTGTTTTCTCTCCTTTTTTTTTCGTTTTTGTTTGTTTTTAACATGATGGGACTGGAAATATTTTTCGGAGGTTTGATACCATTTTATGTAGGTAAGCACCAATAACTTGTGTGTACATTTTCAGACCATTCCCTCACCCTCATATCCCAGAATAGCCAATTTTATCATTCAAAATGACCCAAAAATAAAAAACGTTGCACTCTTATTGGACTAAGAATTGCATAAACATCGATACTCAATTAATTAAATTCCGAGTATAATCCTTTGCAGATTGTTCTTCCATTTAAAATGCTTCACTTGATCTATGTAATAATTACAAACGTTATGCTGTCTCAGTGGAGCACCTTTAAATGAAAAAAAGTTTTTTACCAATAATTCATCAAGTGCAAACGATATACATGATAGCATGGTAACGATGTGTTTGGTGTGAAATATATACATGTATATGTTGTTGTTGTTGTTTTTTAAATACTAATGTATAGCATATTTGCATTGCAAATATATTGTATTGATAATTTTTTTTGTATATTTTTGTACGATTATGAACCATGTAGATGTTAAAGTTAAAATAAAATTATGCTTTATTCTGTTCTATATTCTTTTATACGGCGAATTTCTATTCAACAGTAATAATTTCCGTTATTTCATCTTAATTTAACACCTTTCACACCATACAATTTATTTTTCTGACGCATTTAAAGTAATCATTTCATAGTAAACCGGAGATTTTGACATAAATATATCTAAAGTGCGGATTATTTTTTACCAAATCTTCTATCAAACCTTTCTTATTATGTTTGAATAGGTCAAAACTGCATATTCAATAAAATGGATTGATATAGAGATCCGCCGTAACAAAATTCAAAGAGGATAGATTGATTTAGTTGTGAAAGCTCTTGGCAAATATCGATTAGCAAGCTCATTTCAGTCGTATATCAAAATGAAGTCATGTTCACGCGATATCTTACTTATCTCTAATAAAATTTATAAAAAAATAACTTTATACATGTAATATCATAAAAAATACTGAATTTGTTTTATGAACGTTTCTAATTACAATTTGTTTCTAGTCGGAACTAAAGATAACGACAGTTCTCACTACTTCTTTCCTTCCCACTCCCACTCCCACCCTTCAATAATAATAATAATAATAATAATAATAATAATAATGGAAAAAAAACACCAAAAAAAACAAACAAAACACGAAATGCATGTATAACATAACTTTACTTTAAGTGCAATATTTAGATGACTTATACAGCATGTGCATTAAACATACATATTACATGCACTTATAAATACTTACATGATCTCAAGTACGCATTTTACAAGCATTATAATACTTCTTTATAGCTTTAAAAAAAAAGTCGTAAAATTTTATATTACGTACACTGCGATTTTATTTTTCAAAACAGTCTACATTGAAGTGTTTAAAATGACGTTTTTGACATGTGCCATGAGTATTAATAAAACGAAATACCCTATAAACATCGGCATTTTTATTATTAAAAAAAGAAAAAACTAACTGGTAAATAATAGACCACCGTACATACACATGAAATGGCACAAACAGATAAACAAAGTCGTCATTTTTATTAAACAAAGTTTATCGCAGTTGTGTTGAATATAAAAGACCCGTGTGAACGTGGCCTGACTACATATACTCGGTTGCTTTTCAAATGAAAAACTTCAGTTTTGTTCATGCTTAAATAGTGGAACAGTATATATGGAAATGAAGAAATCATGAGATTAAACTTTGATAAGTGACATCTTAGCAACAGAGTTTTCATAAACAACAGTTGGAAATTCATTTAAAAAAAAAACAAGGTATATTTTATAATATATTTTCTTACTAAAACTGTCAAATTTGTTTTCAAATTATGTATTAATTGTAAACATCATTTTATGTACATTTTTACAATTGATTAAACATGATCTCTCTATGAATATATACAGCTTTTGTGGACAATATAGGAAATCTAAAAAGCTTAGAAAAAATCAATTACTTTGCCATGACAAAAAATATTTATATCTATTGTTGTATGACGGTTATATATAAGTCGCACTTTTATTTCCAAGATGAAAACTTATAAGATAAATTCTGATTTCTATATATATAGACGTAACTGCACAATGTCATAATGTCCAAATTAACCACGGAATAGAACAACCCTTAGACAATATTTACATTTCTGACGATATATTATATAATGTTCTTTTGTACACATTGATCAACTGGATTAAACTGCCAAAATATTAAACAAACATTTGCTTTTAATATCAATTTACTAATAAGGCCAGTTTTTACGCAAGTACTTATAGGCGAATGGTTATTTAGGTGTCTGTAATCCCCACGTGACCTTTCTGATCAGATTATTGAAACAAAAGAATGAAATAATACTCTCACATGCACTGACCGTTCAAGGCATTGATGCTTAGTGTGTTATTGCCAAAAATCTCAACTGAACCAACAATTTAATAATGCCCTCAAGTGCATGTATCACACAGTGAAAGTAACTTGATATTTTAGGTATATAAATGTTAGATGCAGGATGAATAAACGGTAATTATAAAATTTGATATGTGTTTTATTACTTTATAGACTTGTATTTCTTTATTCTGTCGTACATAGTATATATTAGTTTAATCAAATGTACAAAAAAGATAGAAATGAAAATCCGTTGAACGGGTGTTTTCTGACATGACGTTGTTTGATCTGATATCATGACGTCATGATTGACGTATCTGAAATATATAATAGTGTCTGATTAACATCATGTCGTTTTTAGCAACGAAAACACGAAAATAAGAACATACGAAAAGTCCGAAATAGATATATTTGTATGTTCACATTCTTTGGGCGAAATGACGACGAAATCAGGCAAAGTATATGTAAGACACATATGTTTGGCTGTGTATTTTCGCATTTTTCGAATTAATGAAAAGAACATGTTTATATACTGTAGGACTTGTGATTACATGTTCCATGTTGTTTTTTCTGCATCTTCCGTTAGTATATACCTTCTGTTTACGATATTTGTCTTTGCAGAAACCGCCCAGGATCAATTAAAATGGCAAAGGTCCAATCTTTGACATCCGAGAACCTGGACCATCACTCAGATCATAGCTCTAAACGTCATTCTGTTTATGCAAGAGAAGGAAGTGACGTCCCAACCGCCTTAACAACACATCCAAGCATGCGCCGTATGTCGAAATTCGAGCCTCGGCAAAGTGTTCAATACAGCCGACGTATGTCAACGGTGTCGCGCACTAGCATAACCGGAAGTTCTATTGGACATAAACACATTGGACTGTTTCCAATGAAATTGCAAAATACGTATAAATTGCAACCGGATTCCAACGAGCTGTTCAAACCCGGTCCAGTCCGTGAAGTTATTCAGGAAGTGTTAAACGAGTGTCTAGATGGCGAGAAGTACAACCCGACACAATGTCGAAATTTGTCTCAAATGTTAACAGATCTCATAAAATCTAGGGTTAAGGACATGGGATGTAACCGTTACAAATATATTGTTACAGTAACCCTTGGTCAAAACTGTAACCAAGGACTACAAGTTGTAAGTCGATGCCTTTGGAATAAGGACACGGACAATTATGCCGAAGCACATTACAACAAAGATGGATTATACGCAGTTGCTGCCGTGTACGCCGTCTATTTTGAGTAAATAGTTCTGAAACAATTTGTCGTCTGCTGAGAAAAAATAATGCGCTAATGAAGAAATGATTGATTTATATATCGATCAAGGCGTATAAATGATCACTAAAATGCGACTTAACGATAGAAATTTTCCTCCTGAAGTAATGTGCCATGACTTGTAGACACCTAGCTAAATTTAGTAATAGAAGTAGTTGGCAATCGTTGCAAACTGTGTTGGAAATATGATTTTGCAATCTCGGACACCAGGGGATTTTTGTTGTTGTTACTTTTTGTCTTTAGCATCTTTGCATCTGTCCTTTAATTAATTTAATTTAATTAATTTCATGATTTTTTATTGTCTGTCATTTCAATATTTATGTTTCGTACGCTTTATAATGGAACTTTAATTCTTCACGTAACCTTTAAGCTGTGTACGTTTATAACTCCTGAAACAGCATGTAAGTTTTATCTATGTTGATAATTCTGCATATTAGGCTATTGTCAATTTATGAAGTAATTTTCGATTTTCCCGTAATAAAGTAATCCTGCTGTATTATAAATTCGTTATCAAAATGTCTGGCATGCTATATGGCCGTGTATGAAACGGTTGTTTGCAATATAACCATTCCCTAGCGGCTCCGGTTATATAAGCTTACAAGTACAACCGGTTTATATACTAAGCCATATAACCGACCAGAGATATTATAATACTGCACGTTTGTAACGTTGTAATCGTAACATTTTTATAGCTTTATATACACAGCTGCTGCCAATTTATAAAGAAATCTTACTTTTTCTCTAAAAAAAGGACGTTTGCATTATTAAAAATTCGTTAGCCTACCGACTCGGGTTATATTTACAAACAGTCGTTTATATAGGGCCATATAACCTGTCTAACATCTTTATAACCAATATAACATTCGTAATTAAAACAAATAAATTAGCAATCAGTATTTATATATTTTGTCTTAATATTTTAATTGGAATAACATATGGCTTATAAGTGTAAAATTTCAGCCGAATATTGATTTAAGACAATTATCTCTTGGGTTAAATTTTATTTATAAAATAAACATTTAAATCTATTTCCAGTGGCTTTGAAGGTTTATTCTCAGTGATAGAACATGCCAATCGTTGTTCAAATAAAGAAAAAAATGGCAATTTACGGGTATTAATAAAAATTGTTTTACAAAAAACAAATACCACGATAAAATAAACAATTATCAGTGGATCGCTGTGACATCTTTTAAGTTTTCTTTTGTGGGGAAAAACGGTGTATACAATTTAAATTTTCGCTTTGCTTTAAAGGATTATAGGACGGTGGAACAATGGTGACATGTGTGTGTTTTTATTTAACTCGTGCGCACGAGATACTACGTCGTGGCCACGAATTACTAAGTCGTGACTAACTCGTTACTAACTCGTGTAAACGACATAGTATCTCGTGGCCACGACATAGTATCTCGTGGTCACGACTAAATTATCTCGTGGCCACTACTTAGTAACTCGTGGCCACGACATAGTATTTCGTGCGCACGAGATAAATAAAAGCACACACATGTCACATTTGTGCCACCGTATTATAGGGTAAGAAATAAACGGGAACCATAGTGGGTATATAATGTACCAAACATCTCGGTTACTTATCCGAAGTTTGACGGAAAGAGCCGAGAAGAGGCGATTGGTCCAAAGTGTAATGATTTCGACATCGAGAAGTTGCGTTAAATATTTTCTCCATGCGCATATTAACGATCACAAAATTGTTGGCAACCTTTGCCAATAAAGTTTAACATTAATTTTACAAATCAATCTTCCTTCATAAATAATTGAATTCTAAAGAGCTTTTTTCCATTAGGATATCGGCAGAAGAATTTTTTCCCCTTTTTTCAGCGGAACTTCGTAACTTTTATCAAAAGAAAACAATAAACCCATTGCTCGCAATGACTATACAATATGCAAAAAAGTGACATATATTGTATACTGGTCGTAAAAGCTGTTTTCAAACCATTACATTACCAGCAGTAGGCGGTGCTGCGAGTATTTACCAACTGTCGCAATAATAACAGTAATAATGAAAATACAAAATTTTCGCACGTTGTTAAGAATGAATCGATCATGCTTTTAACACCGAAATGTTTAAATTTTGATCAGTTTATTGAACGCCTTTAAGGTATTCAAATATAAAGACGGCTTCAATAAGCTGTTCAAGTAGTGATTATAATATAAACGCAGTGCACTATCTAAAATCGGTTAAGGTTTATAGATGTGTACGTAACTGATCAACTCTAACCAATAACAGTTCTTTAGTAAAGATCATCAAATCGCCGGCACTACACAAATTACTTATTTTAAACAAAACAATTGATAATTAAAGCTTTTTGTATACTATGAAATTATAGTAGCGTCGTTGAGGCCCCGCATTTAGATTTTATGATACAATATAATGTAAACATTAAAACGGTGCAGTATTTTAATTGCACAACTTGCCTCGTGCTGACATACATCAAAGAGGTAACCGCTTCTTACCATAAACTTAAATCACTTACTTACAAAAACTAAGACGTTTTTATATCAAAAATTAAATACATTATGAAAAGCACCCGTAGAGATACACGTATCTGAAGCACGCGTTACATCCGATCATTTTATACTTTTCTTGGGAGCCTAATTATTTCAACTTGAAACTTTCTTGCTATAATGGTGGCGATTTTTTCACTCCGGATCACGACAGTAAGTCACATTGGATTTACCAGAGTACAGTTCAGTCATCGCCTCGTTTCTAGGCATACTGCCAAGCAGTTTGCCAGTACTAGCTGCCATCACTCATGCAAGGAACTGATAACCTCTGTACATACCAGAGCAGAGGTACAGTGCGAATGACCGTAGAAGGAATTCCATGATTAATAACAACGAAAGTGACCTGCACTGTCTGGGAATCAAACCAGGATTGCCTGATTCAAAGCCCAACGCTCTACCTATTGAGCTAATCGGGCGGCTTTCTTACGATAACAGGAAGTAGACTTGTTTATATGCTGTTAGTTCGCCTTGTGTTGAAGTTATTAAATTAAACCAAACGAATAACCTAGATAACAAGATAAATAAAGCGATCTACCTGAACTCTTTTATTAAAGAATTATTGCGTTAGTTAAGCCGTATCCACTTCTATGTCCACATGACTACATATCAGCTAAATTATTAAAGGCACATGAAGCCTTAGAAATGAATAACATTGTCTTTCAATAGAAAGGGAAGCAATTGATTTAATTAGAACATGTAGGATGCTTTATGCCCGGAGTATGTGAAATTATTTGTGATAAAAATAGCAAAATGTAAACAAAGTGGCATTTTGACTTCCATACGTCATTTTAAATCACTGTAATGGTACTCATTGCCAAAATGCAAACGAAGCAATATATGGAAAAGCTATATGTCTTTGTAAACTGTAACACGATGTTAAAAGAGAAAAGATTAAAAAAAATAAAATATAAGCATTTTAAGGCTTACTGGGCCTTTAATTGTAGAAAAAAAAAGACAATGATTGTTTTAAAAATAAACATCAATTTTATATCGCGCCGCGCCTCATCCATTCACAGTCAATTGATACACGCAAATTTATCAAATTTATCAACTATTGTTTAACAAATAACCGGATGTTTACCATGCACCACCGTTACTATGGAACTTGACATACATGGGGTTATCTTTTTTTATTTCAAAACAAAAAGTGGAAGGAAGCTTTCTGAACATAATTAGCATCAATTACGAAAACTTCTGAAAGGAAATTATTTATTTTTATGGAATTGTACCAGAAGAAGACCTTTTAACAGAGATAATTGGTTTTTATAAAGGTAAGTCCGCTGTTAAGGCAGTTTTATTATAGCTTTTTTTAACATTGTCGCTGCAGATGGAATCAGGAAACAGGCTGCAAGAAGCAAACCACGAATTACCAAGTTATTACTAGTCTTAACAAAAATGTATCTAAAATTCAGTTTCAAAATGCTACCAATACGATCAAAGTTCTGATATTCTTACGGCTTCATGTAGCATATAGCATTATTTAGGGGCTGATTTCAATCAGATTGTAAATGCATCTAAAAAATTCAGAAAGTTTTTTACAAACTAAAATGTATCGCTGCTGCTGAATCTAAAGGGTTGATCAGTTTAACCTAGCATACGTTCCATTGAAACACTCTATTTCCCTTCCAATACCCAATAAGGTTTCCAGAGGGAAATCACAATTTTTAAAATTTAAAGTATCCCCCGAAATGCCCACAAAACATTGTTCTTAGAAAAGCCCGACTTTCATAATCGCACCGAAACCAGCCTCCAATGTTGATCTTTATTTCTAATATAATTGTTAAACAATTTTGAAACAGCACCATCCAAGCAACATTCCTTTGATTTTTTGCTGGTGTAGGAGAGAAGAGTGTACGGACATGCATAAATATCAGATTTACACTAAACGGATGTTCCTCCGATTTGTCTGTTTAAACTTTGATTTTCTTTTGCAAAATTTACATCGAAATGTTTTGTTTTACGGAACGACTGTGATGTTCAACACTAACCTTACGTACTGAGCATGTACGGACGGGCGAACGGACCGACGGGAAGTGAGTGATCATAATAGATCACAATGAGCTTGTTGTGCTCTTGCGAGATAACTAGACAAAATGGCGTGGTTTACGTGTCAAATCAAGTTCTATTCTCTCATGAACACAATTAAGCTATTACATTTTCAGTTGCAGTTCTACCCCGCTTATAAAACTATTGCTTCTGGTGTTCACTGGGTAAAATATATATTTAGACATAACACTTGAACAAACACACTCCCTCTATTTCTAAATGTCTTACAGTAGTATCTACATTGAGATGTAACCTGATTTTTTCTATATCTATGCATGGACACAAACGTAATGTCACATTGGTTAATCAGATCATTCCTGATTTCAATATTATTCGCTTCAAAATTTGACGGGAAGAGATAACGGCAATAAGTGTGCGATACAAGTGGTTTACTGATGATAGGATAATCTAAATCTGTTTGGTTAATGATTAACATTGACAAGAAACTCCTAACCTTCCGTGATAAATTTTGTTCATTATTTACAGCCATGAAAGACGGAATTGTTCTCATTGAATTATTTCACTAGTGTATAATTGTTAATGTATGCAAACCAGTCTCATAAATTTGGTACTTTTTTGTTTCAGAACGACGTGTTACCTGACACGAAACTCTTCAACTTGTTCAAAAACTTGAAATGCCGCCAAAACCTCAACAGCCACGAAGACTCACAAGGGAGAATATAGAAAACCACAGTGAGAGCATGGCTCGTAAATCGTTCAGTGAAGACTTACCCAGCCATGTTCCTCTCCCACAAACAACACAACCACAGATGCGTCGCCAGTCCAAGTTTGATGCACGTCTGATGCACATGAGCCAGGATAGACGCTTTTCAACCGTTTCTCGGACAAGTATTTCCGGTGCGTCGCAGACGACAAAAACAGGACCGCCGGTGAAATACGAAAACACATACAGGACTGAACCAGACGCTAAATTTGAATCTTACAAAGTTAAAAATGTTATGACTCAGACATTGAGGGAATGGCTTACCGGTGTGGAATATTCACCTAATGTGAGAAAGCTTACTACAGGTCTAACAGACGAGATTAAAAAGCGCGTGAAGGCGCTTGGATTTCAGCGCTATAAGTTTGTTGTCACGGTAACGATATGTCAAGATGCAAAACAAAGTATGCAAATGGTTAGTAGGTGTATGTGGAATAAAGACACTGACAATTTCTCTGAAGCCGTTTTCAAGACGGCAGACCTCCATGCTGTAGCAACACTTTACGCATGCTACTTTGAGTAACGCATCGACACATGTGACTTTTAAAGACTATGTTCATTATACTAATGTTCAGTATTGGCATTTTTCATTTTATAAACAATATACTTTCATTAAATTACGCACAATGTATTTTATAGACATTAATTAAAACATAATATGCATATGTAATTGAAATGATTTCAAACCTTGCCTTTCATACAAATTTATGCGAGTAAAACATCTGCGTGTTGTATATTTCGCAAATTGAAATACAAATTTATGCGAGTAAAACATCTGCGTGTTGTATATTTCGCAAATTGAGTATTATGTTAAATAAGGCACTTATTTAGACATACAGATCTTCATAAATGTCTTTCTACATCACTTTAAATACAGATATTTTGCTTCCTTTTATGTCCTTGAAGGATTTTCTTCAAATGTTCACCTTAACAAGGGGATGTGCAGAACCTATGCCGCCGCTGTGCAAACTCATGCTCAAAGTTACCTTGAATGTCAAATATTAGACAATTCGCTCTTAAAATTCTATACTCCTTGCGGCATTTTCTCTAAACTTGGCTAAAATATCACCTCAACAAGGCAATGTGCAAAAACCCATGCTACCACTGCAGGACTCAAAATCAAGGTCATCCGAGCTTGAAGGTAAAAATTACAACATTTGGTATCTTGCACTAAAAATTATATACTTTTCAAATGATTTTTTTCAATACAAAATTAATAGCAGATTGCACTACATAATACCCTGTGTCATAGAGATCAGGACGGGTACATGTATTCGTTACTCCTGTGGCAGATCTAGCTTCAAGTTCAGCCCCGAGTTATGCTATGTGCTTCATCCATATTAGGAAATGTTTTAAATAACAATTCATTCGAGGCAAGAGATGATTATTTCCATCACACAGTCTTATTTTATCTATTTAAATATTGCATCTTTTATACTTGGCTATTGAACTCCTACCAACTGTTGCTTGCCATTTCATGTGCTAGGGGGTGTTTCGCCCGATACTGAGCGGTCTGGAGGATAAACAGAATTTACCATAACCGCCTATGAAAAGGCAACAAAAATTGACAAAGTTCTATAAACTTTTCATCACATTTAATTGATAAATACATAAACACAAAGTGTATATATGAAATTTATAACTTAATATCTAACATATTGCATTTTTATCTATCCCTTCTACCTACATTAAGAATTAAATTACACAAAACATTCTGACAATTTCTGGTGAAGATCAAATCAAATTGTGACCTGGATAGAGATAATTTGGTTTCTACTCGAGTTAACAGGATTTGAACAAACAGTGGTGAGGGCCAAGTGATTTAATGTCAACCTTACCAACTGGCCATGGGGACAGCTATCCAGCTAGCTTAGAGTTAGTGGTTGTACACATATGCCCGTTTGTGTCTGAAATAAAGCATGAAGGGGCACCTTGTTGGTGTAACTTAAAATCAAACAAAAAAAAACCAAACAATATCAATTGAATACTGATATCAGTGATCATATGTATGTAAGGCACGCAGTGAGATATAGTGAAGTAGAAGTAGCATTATCACATTAACAAAGCAAGCACAATATGAATCCAATGAAGAGAGTAATGATAACTGCAAGCACAGTATGATTCCACTTAAGAGAATTAACACTGTGATAACTGCAAGCACAGTGTTACTTCATTTAAGAGAGTTATCAAAGTGATAACTACAAGTACAATGTGACTCTACTAACAAGAGTTATCACTGTGATAACTTAAAGCACAATATAAATCTGTATAGAGTTATCATCCTGAGAAATATGATTTATTAAAATTCTGAGATGATAAACAGTCACAATGTTATAGAACAAGAAGGTCATTAAGGCCCTGGATGGCTCATCTGAAAATCTGAGAGATCAAACTCTGAGTTAAGTGTACAAATAAAATAAGTTTGAAAACTGAAGTACAAAGTATTTCAATGTAAAAGATTACATCATACACAAAACTGTGATTTAAATTTGAAGTCCATAGATTGAAAAATGTGAAGTACACAATTCATGAAGAATTTGAGCTTTTCCTTATAACTTAAGTTTACCCTACAAACTACTGGTGTGGTCAATTTAAACCAAGGATAGTTTTATTCATATAACTTTTGTACAGGACCACTAGACAATGCTATATATAAGCTTGAAGTCACATACATTCAAAAAGGAAGACTTAAAAAACAGTTTCAAAAGGAAGACTTAAAAAAGTTTTCAATATTAGTCTATACAAATTACATGACCCTTTGGATATGGCCATGTTTGACCAACTGGATCTCTCCAGTTTATATAATAAACAAAGTTCATAGTCAAATGATAACTTTTCCTTACACAATCAAACCATGATGGCCTAGAAAGGAGACACCTGTTTCGCCATTTTCCAGAATCATAAGATTCTATATTTGGATCAGCCATTTTTCAGAATCATAACTCCTAGAAACCATATTTGGATCAGGTTTCCATAATATTTAATTAAAGAACTCAGCTGCTTATTCAAGTATTGTGCAAATTTTATGCAGACAAACAGTTGAGGATCCCTGCCAATAAAACAGTCACCAACCATAAAAGCTTACATAAGCACAAAAAGCTGAGGTAAGTGATAAACATATAACAAGACATGTCCATGGACAGCAAGCTCCACTTTTCTCAGTGATAAATGAGCCGTGTCATGACAAAACCAACATAATGGGTTTGCGACCAGCATGGATCCAGACCAGCCTGCTCATCTGTGCAGTCTGATCAGGATCCACACTGTTCCCTATCAGTTTCTCTACTTGTTGCGAACAGCATGGATCCTGATCAGACTGCGCGAATGCGCAGGCTGGTCTGAATCCATGCTGGTCGCAAACGCACTATGTTGGTTTTGTCATGACGTGGCTCAAATACAGAACAATTAGAACAAAGTAAAGAAGGAGAAATAACTCTTAAAGTGCTTGGCAGACTTACCTGCCCTTGACTACAGATCCAGATTATCAATATTCATATAAATGCAAAGGTACACAGAATTTAATAATCTTTGATAGTTTTGAAATAAAAATGCTTATTTAACAGCATTGCAATAGCAAGAAATAATACCACAACCTCAGCTTAATAAGAAGACATAAAGCTTGACAAACATTAAAGGCATATTTAAAGCTGCATGCTTTCAGATGTGTCAAAAATATTTCAAGAAAATAAAACTTGTGAAAAATGTACTCTGATTTTAAGAAAATGATTCAAGAAACAAGTAATAATTTGCATGTTATGTGTGATTAATGACTGATTTTGCAATATTTATCACCTTATTTCTACTGTGTGACTATCACAGTAAGGGCTATTTTTGCACATTTTGACATCTTTTTTGTTCATTTATGTGGAATGTAAGTACTGTTTGCAATGTATAGTTTACTTCACATTATGTTACTTTTAAATGCATTTTAAAAATTTTCATTAAAATAAACATGAATCTGGAGGCATGCTGCTTTAAATGGGGAGTGTCATTATTACTTGTAATAAATGAACAAGTTATAAACTAAATATTAACTTAATTACCCTTGGCAATCAAAACAACTATTTTATTTGGACACGAGATTATGACAACTTTTGTATAGAGTATCACATGTTTATTTTATGTAAGATTTACAATTTCCTAAAAGGCTTCCAAAATTTAGGTGAAATATACTTTCTTTTTCAAAGAAATCTACCCATAGGTATAATGTTTACATTTCAAAAATGTACATCCATTTATTTACAAACTAAAAAATGTATCAATATTTATAATATATATAAATATATAATAATATATAAATAATCAAGAAAATACAAAAGTTGCACATGCAAGCTTTTATACTGTTACAAAACTGTTGGAATGGCATTTTACTTGAAATATTAAGTCTTAAAGGAACTCCACTGAGGTTATTGACATGACCAGCCTGGAAATATTTTTCTGAGATTCGTCAACCATCTGGACCAATAACTTGTGTGCAAATTTTCAGATTATTTCCTCACCTCTTTTTTCCCAAAAAATCACTTTTATTGTGCAAAATAGCACAAAAATTAAAGGCATTGCAAAGCTTTTCACTATAATCGGACTAAAAATTATAAGCACAAAAAATCGATATTAAATCCTTTGCAGATTTTTCCATTTAAAGTGTTTCACTTGATTTATTAAAAAATTTCAAATTATGTACTTTGAGGCTTTTTCAACCTCAGTGAAGCTCCTTTAAAAAATTCGATATAAAATATTTCAATAAAACAAGACCTGTTATTAGGACAGCAAGCTCGACTATTCTCAGTGCTTGATAGAAAAACAAGAGCATGGATAATGTATAATTTTCTAAGTACAAAAAGGGCCATAATTCTGTCAAAACACATGTTAGAGATAAAGGCCTTGAACAATGACCTATTATGCCCTCAAATACGTGTCAAGTTTTAGCCCATTTCCTTCTGTAGTTTTAGAGATACCAAAGTGTGACACTGACACAGGGGTCCATACAATAGCTCCCCCTATTCTTCCAATAGTCCAGCATGTATTACAATTTTTAGTTGTAACTGGGATTGATTTTCTTTATTCCTTTAAAAATGGAAAAAACTGGGCATTAAACAAGCTTCAAATAAATGCATTTGACAGTTAAGGGAAAAATGCCCTTAACAAAAAGGTAAAAAATTCTTAGTTGAAAAATGGCCAAAAAAATAATATTCAGATTATCTACCCTTTTGAAAATGGTGTCATATTTTAAAAGTGAATGTGTATACCAAGTTTGAACTGAATAACTTTTGAGTTTCTGAGAATACGGACCTTTAAAAAAAAGTTAACCAACACCAATGATGACTAGAGGGTCATGAATATAGCTGCCCTATTTTTCTTAAAATGTGAAACTAAAAAATATTAAAGTTAAAGCTCATCAGCTGTGTGAGAAGGAGGTTTCAGGTCAAATTTCTCTATTGCCCTTTTCATCGTCTTTACAACTGAAATGAGAACAAAGAAACACATGTTAAACAAACTTTAACTCTAAAATAAAGTACAATTTTTTCAACAAAGAGTGCCATGATAATTATGCATATAGGAATCAATAATTTCACAGAAGATAGGCTAATTGCTTACAAAATGAATCAATTCTTAATAACTTGAAAATCAAAATCAACCTGTGTTTTAATATTATATGCTTACATGCCAAATTGGAAGACAAGAACTGAAATCCTTCGAAAGACATTCTGATGAAACCACAAATTTCCCAAAGAAATTGCTTATAAGGGGCAAAACTCTTATCAACAAGATATGTTTGTAAAACATGTATGCCCCCTATCAGCAGCCAATTAGTCATGTGATAAGGTTATTATGCATGACTTCTGACCCAGTGATCAAACAATTAATAAGGGTTATAAAGTATCTACTGGTCATGACTTTGACCCCTTGACCCAAAACTCAATAGGGGTCATCTGCTGGTCACAACCAATCATCATACAAAGTTTGAAGTTCCTAGGCCTAGGCGTTTTTAGTAAATTGATCAGAAACCGTTTTTACCTACAAGGTCAATGTGACCTTGACCTTTGACCCCTTGACCCCAAAATCAATAGGGGTCATCTGCTGGTCATGACCAATCACCATGCCTAGGTTGAAGTTCCTAGGCCTAAGGGTTCTCTTATTATTGATCGGAAACCGTTTTAACATACAAGGTCAATGTGACCTTGACCTTTGACCCCAAAATCAATAGGGGTCATCTGCTGGTCATGACCAATCACCATGCCAAGTTTGAAGTTCCTAGGCCGAAGCGTTCTTTAGTTATTGATCAGAAACCGTTTTTACTTACAAGGTCATTGTGACCTCGACCTTTGGCTTAATCCCAAAATCAATAGGAGTAATCTGCTGGTCATGACAAATCACCATACCAAGTTTGAAGTTCCTAGGCCTAAGTGTTCTTGAGTTATTGATCAGAAACCGTTTTTACTTACAAGGTCAATGTGACCTTGACCTTTGACCCCTTCACCTAAAACTCAATAGGGGTCATCTGCTGGTCATGACCAATCATCACACAAAGGTTGAAGTTCCTAGGCCTAAGCGTTTTTAGTAAATTGATCGGAAACCGTTTTTACCTACAAGGTCAATGTGACCTTGACCTTTGACCCCTTGACCCCAAAATCAATAGGTCATCTGCTGGTCATGACCAATCACCATACCAAGTTTGAAGTTCCTAGGCATAAGGGTTCTTAAGTTATTGATCGGAAAGCATTTTTACCTACAAGGTCAATGTGACCTTGCCCTTTAACTCCTTAACCCCAAAATCAATAGGGGTCATCTGCTGGTCATGACCAATCACCATACCAAGTTTGAAGTTCCTAAGCCTAAGGGTTCTTTAGTTATTGATCGGAAACCGTTTTTACCTAAGAGGTCAATGTGACCTTGACCTTTGACCCCTTGACCCCAAAATCAATAGGGGTCATCTACTGATCATGACCAATCACCATCTCAAGTTTGAAGGCCCTAGGCCTAAGGGTTCTTTCATTATTGATCGGAAACTGTTTTTACCTACAAGGTCAATGTGACCTTGACCTTTGACCCCTTAACCCCAAAATCAATAGGGGTCATCTGATTGGTCATAACCAATCACCATACCAAGTTTGAAGTTCCTAGGCCTTAAGGTTCTTTAGTTATTGATTGGAAACCGTTTTTACCTACAAGGTCAATGTGACCTTGACCTTTGACCCCTTGACCCCAAAATCAATAGGGGTCATCTACTGATCATGACCAATCACCATACCAAGTTTGAAGTTCCTAGGCCTTAAGGTTCTTTAGTTATTGATCGGAAACCGTTTTTGCTTAAAAGGTCAATGTGACCTTGACCTTTGACCCCTTGACCCCAAAATCAATAGGGGTCATCTACTGATCATGACCAATCACCATACCAAGTTTGAAGTTCCTACGCCTTAAGGTTCTTTAGTTATTGATCGGAAACCGTTTTTGCTTTCAAGGTCAATGTGACCTTGAACTTTGACACCTTAACCCCAAAATCAATAGGGGTCATCTACTGGTCATGACCAATCACCATACCAAATTTGAAGTTCCTAGCCCTTAAGGTTCTTTAGTTATTGATCGGAAACCGTTTTTGCTTTCAAGGTCAATGTGACCTTGACCTTTGACCCCTTGACCCCAAAATCAATAGGGGTCATTTACTGATCATGACCAATCACCATACCAAGTTTGAAGTTCCTAGGCCTTAAGGTTCTTTAGTTATTGATCGGAAACCGTTTTTGCTAACAAGGTCAATGTGACCTTGACCTTTGACCCCTTGACCCCAAAATCAATAGGGGTCATCTACTGATCATGACCAATCACCATACCAAGTTTGAAGTTCCTACGCCTTAAGGTTCTTTAGTTATTGATCGGAAACCGTTTTTGCTTTCAAGGTCAATGTGACCTTGAACTTTGACCCCTTGACCCCAAAATCAATAGGGGTCATCTACTGGTCATGACCAATCACCATACCAAGTTTGAAGTTCCTAGGCCTTAAGGTTCTTTAGTTATTGATCGGAAACCGTTTTTGCTTTCAAGGTCAATGTGACCTTTACCTTTGACCCCTTGACCCCAAAATCAATAGGGGTCATCTACTGGTCATGACCAATCACCATACCAAGTTTGAAGTTCCTAGGCCTAAGGGTTCTTTAGTTATCACTCGGAAACCATTTGGTCTACGGACCGACGGACCGACAGACCGACGGACTGACAAGTGCAAAGCAATATACCCCCTTTTCTTCGAAATGGGGGCATAATAAGGAGTCGATTGCATCTAAATCTTACTTAATGTGTGTTTTGATATATTATCCTTAATTGTCAGTTATTATGCAGGAACCAATTGTTTACTGACATATGGATGACAAAACGGACCATTATTTATATACCATATTCACTAATATTGAAAAAAGGGGTGTGTGATTGCCTACACTAAATGGTAATAACTTGTAAACAGTTAGGTTGGTTGGGTTGAACAATCACTGATTACACTGTTGTTTGACAACAAAATTTGTTAATATCAACATAAACACCAGAAAGACAAACTACACTATGTGCTAAGTTGAGCTAAATAAAATGACTTACTTCCTTCTGGATTATGATAGTAATATTTATATTTAGCATTTCCTCCCTCGTGGATTAAATCATCTCTTACTTCACCTTCATCTAAAAGACAATAAAATCATACTAAATTGCAAACTCCATCAAGAAAAAGAGGACAATCCAAAGTATCTTATAATCTACATTTCAAATATGAAAAATATTGGTCAAAATATGAAGTTGCTAAGATAAACTGTAGGAAAGCGCAACCAAACTATGGAATGACAGAAGGATAAAGCAGTGACTACTGTACTTGTATGTGTTGAAAAGTTAGCGAATTCAAAATTCTAGACATTTTACCTTAGGAAATATTAGCTAATAGTGCAAGCATAAAATTTAATGACAGGTTGGTTGATATTTACGCTAGAGGAAATTTAGGCGATATTCGCAAATATTTTTGCGTCGCAACCTTAAACACTTATACAGTATATATATGCTCTCCGAACTTTTCCAGGGAGTATTTTTCAGGGAACATAACAAATAAAGAATGCTGATTTCTTTCATTCCATACCTGATACCAATGTACATGTATATAGGCTATTTTAGTAATGACTATCATCACTCAATGGTTTCTAAATTGCATATATTAAGCTAAAGAACATAATTATAAGCTATTCTGAATGAAATGCTATTTATAATAACTTACATATGAACAATATTCTAGGTATATATCCACCATCTGGAGCATATTTTGAATCTTTAGGTTCATCATCATCCTTCAAAAAAATAATAAAATAAAATTATTACTGCATAAAATAATATTTGTGTTTGCTGGGTTTTTTATGTCACAGTATATGGGGAGTTTGCTGCTTTACTGGTGCAGAGAGAATTCAGATGCCCCTTTGTGAGTAGAGACACCAACGTTCCATAAGCTAGCAGGATCGCTTCCTCTCATAAAAGAATGATTCAAAGTCAAAAACCTAAAACACTTTGCCACAGGCACCTTAGAATAATTTGATTCATTCCACACCAAAAAGCTTAGATAAAAGCTGGAATGTGGCAAAGAAAGTAACCTGTGGGGTATAAAAGACTTTCAAAACTACGTATATTTAACTATCATACATGAACTTATCCATTATATAATAAAATAGGTCAAGTGATAGGTTTTGAACTTACAAGTGCATTCACCATGTGAAAATGTGGGCTGAGTTCTTCTATATCAACAGACTCCTCAAACTTAGGTTTTAAAGCTGAAAAATAACACATAAATTCTATAGCTTTAATGTTTAAAGAGACTATTTGTGAATATACAATATATAATGCCACCGATATGACAACTTATCAATACCATAAAATAAGTATTACTCGTGTAGGACAAAATTTTGTGTATTTGGCACTCAAAAAAATGCGCAAATTAAAGTCTGCACTATTATAAATCTTAACAAATCTGTTAAAGATGTTCAAATCAGACAGAATCTTTAATAGTACTAAAATTGGCATTAAAATGCCTCACTTTTTTTTTAAGACAGTCAACCTCATTTTTTCACAGACTTTTTATCAAAAGTGTTTTTTTCATTTTTTCAATCTTAAATTCCACTAATTGAAATTTCAAAATTTCATATCCAGTTGAAATAATGTTTTGTTTTCAACAACAAATTACAAATAGGGCCTATATAATTTTTGTCATTGGATAAGTAATAGCAAGTACCAAATTACTTTACACTATTATATCAAAACAAGTGTAAATTACCTTTACAAGCTCCGCACCATGATTTATGGATCACCAGCATCACTGGTCTTTTACTGAAACATCAACATAAATACATGTACATATATATTTAATATATAAACATTATAATTGAACCGCGCCATGACAAAACAAAATGGATTTGCAACCAGCATGGATCCAGACCAGCCTAAGCATCCGCGCAGTCTGATCAGGATCCATGCTGTTCGCTATCAGTTTCTTTACTTGTTATAGGGTTGGTAAGCGAACAGCATGAATCCTGATCAGACTGCACGGATGCGCAGGCTGGTCTGGATCCATGCTGGTCGCAAACCCATTAAGTTGGTTTTGTCATGATGCGGCTCATATCTTTTTTTCATCTGGTCAACTATGCAATCAGAATTTAGGAATATGATGTGTTATCCTACAGATGACCAACTTGATTTGTAGAGTTTCCTTCAAGACCTTGGGACATAATACATGTATAAATAACTTTCTTGGAGGCAGGTTTATCAGGTATTGTAAACTGTCAAATCCAAATCAAAGTCCCAATAATTATAACCTTCCTTCATACCAAGTTTGATTGTAATTTTTTTTTATTATTACTATTATCATTTGTATCATTATTATAATTATTGACAGGAAACCATTTTTCTATCTATAGTAACAATGACCTTAACCCTAGGGTGGCAAAAGATATTCTGAGTGAGGTCTCCATATTAGCTTGCTTAATATCAAATTTGATTGAAATTATCTTGTTCCTTCCTCGAATCATGAACATGAAACCATTTTTCTATGCCAAGTCAAGTATTCTTTATAAGGTGTAGAGGGCAATCATATGCCTGAGCCCTGCTCTTAAGCACAAAAATTGCAACAATATGTGAGACATTGGTAATCATTTTCAAAACCTTCATTAGGCTAAAAAAACAACTTACGTTTCTTCAGAATCCTTCAATGCATCCTTAAGGGTCTGCCATTTTATTTTATCATTCCAACCTGAATATAAATCATTAGATTAGTCATGGTGTTGAAAAATAACATTAGAAAGTGTTATAAATTATAATGAATAATGATTAACCCCGCGCTTCTAGGGCTGTAACAAACCACCAACCTCTTGCAGGTTCACGTGAGCCTTATAAAATTTAAATACAAAATTAATATTCACCTGGCCTTGTATTGCCAGATTCGTTAACTTTTGGAAATTAGTTCTTAGAGAAATTATTTGTTACATTTCAATATCAAAACATTTATTATAACTAATATTTGCGTAACAAAACAAGCTTTATCATAGAAAAAGGACCATGATACCATAAATATGGTCATGATTTCTATGATGAAATAGTAGGCCACTAAATTCAAAGTAAAAGTTAAATACAACATGCAAAACTGCACTGAACTTACTGAAGGTCTAGATAAAAGGAACATGCATAAAAATTCAAAAGTTGAGGTAAAGTTCATGCAAAGTATAGTCTTTTTCAAGAAACAAATTTTCTTCGAAGAGAATTTTCTTCGAGACATTTAACTGTTTCAGTCCCTATCTTATACCAAAACAAATCATTGGTGACAAGAATTGTCATAAAACTTTGTTTTTCACCAATATTTAAATATAATAACATGTGTATCCTAATCCCTTTAGAAATGTCAGAGGCGTTATGTACAGAACAATATTCCTCTATTATTACTTAAAAATTATACCATAATTTCCCTAAAAATGATTAAATAAAAACGAATATTCCTCTATTATTACTTAAAAATTATACCATAATTTCCCTAAAAATGATTAAATAAAAACAAACAATTATATGATAATACATGTATCTTTGAGGCACTTAAAGATGAAATAATTCTGTGAAAATTGGGGTGTTTTTTTTGGTTGTGTTTAATGTAGCACCAACACAGAAAAGGTTATAATATTATGGTGACTTTCCAGGTTGACTTGTAAGCAAAACCTCAGGAGGCTCAGGTTCCCCTTTCAGGTTCAAACGGGCACCTCAGTAGAACCATGTGATGTTCTGCACACCAGCTGGATACCTTCCTTACAAGAAAGAACTCAAAGTCCCTGACAATATTCAAATGAGTAAAGAAATTTTGTTAAATTTTTTATTGGACATCTTTTAACTGTGACTGAATGTCTAAACAATTGAATAAAACAAAACCTCCAGGTGTGAACTATCTTGGGAGTGAAATGTCTTGGACATGAAACGTTTAACATTCCTTCATAACCAATGAGCTTTTTTTCATTAACTGAGTAACATGCACATTATGTATACACAGCAAGCTGGGGAAAAAATGCAAACACAGACATTGGCCAGACAGATAAAGTACAAAAGCAACTCATGCATGGACCAGTGTTAATGACCATTTAAGGCAGGGATACACAACTTACCTGTGTAAAGTTTCAAGCTTTAATAAATAAAATTGAGTGATACATGAACAGTTTACACATGCATAATTTCTTTTTTCCACTAACAAGAAGGCAATGATGGCCATTTCATTAATGCAGCTGTACATGTAATTACAAAAAAATAAGGCTCTGGGTAAAAATTTAACCCTAGCATTTCAGAGGGAGAATTGAAATTGTAGACACAATGAAAGAGTCAGTGGTTGCTATGGAACATCAATTGTTGGAATAAAAGTCACTGGTTGCAACAGAAAGTCTATGGTTGCTATTGTAAGTCAATGGTTGCTATGGCAGTCACTGATTGCTATGGCAGTCACTGATTGCCATGGAAGTAACTAACACTATTTCCTGCTAAATATCTTATTTCTAGCGTTTTTGGGCTTGGATGGTAAAAATAACAAAATCTTTAGCCCTTGTGGCTTTACAGGGAAAGTTTGTTGTTTTTTTTAAATTTCCATGTATCAATCAAAGAAAATCTATCGCCACAGGGTAGGACCAATTTTGACCTAAGGGCTATTATTTTTACAAGCTTGGTCAAGACTCACTGGACCAGGTTTCATGTCCATTATTTTAGATCTTAAGCTACATTTTTATAATGCCAAGCTTTCAATGAAGATCTTTAAAGATTGCATTCTTAAATTATATATTTTGCTTTGGTTATGTGCATTAGGCCATAACCATTTGAATAAAGATACTTCAGTAAAGCTTCAGGCAAAGAACACTTCTGGTAAGTTTCATCAAATCTAGTCATGTGGTTTCAGTGGTAATGCCATTTGTATTGTGGATGACTGAAGATGATCAACAGACAGGCAACAATCCTAAAAGCTCACATTGTAGCCTATATCGCTAATGAGTTAATTATGGAAACAGGAAAGCCCTGTTCTACTTTTAAGTGTATCCACCTTTGGCATAAAAAAAACAAATTGTACATGACTGTACGAAAGATTGGTGGTTTTTGTGACTTTTCTCTTTGACATTGTCTACATAGGCCTACAATGCAAGCATTTAAAATTGTTCAACATTAATATTTAATACCCCAATAGAATAGAATAAATATACCTAGCCTATATATTTCCAATTATGGGACTTTTCATTAATTACTTAATAACATAATTGTACACGCCTAATAAATGTATCATAACCGTATATTAAAACTCAATTTAAACAATATAATCAACAATATTATATATGAATAGAATGGCAGATCCAGAGTGCATTTTTGGGGGTGGGGGTGGGGGGATGGGGTCAGGGCCAGGTTCCAGTCAGCCAATGTCTGGCGACTGAGGGGCAACCTGGACACTACTTTAGCACTGTACGTTTAGTTTAAATAATATTGTTCTCTGAAGGTGTCAACAAATATTATCATCAAGGTACAATAATTCGTGTTTATTCATTATATAGGGGCTATTGATTTCATGTTATTTCTTATTTGTTTGACTGTTTTTCTCATTTATCACTTGTTTATTGACTGACAAATTACGAACTTGATTTGTCAGTTTATCAATATCAGGCTTTTTCACAACATCTTGAAACAAAACAAAAAAATCATACACTCTCTTTAAAAAAGTGTCTATAAATATTTATTAATGAAGCGTATACCGTTTGAAAGGTCTTTTGATAAACAAAGTGTTGAAACTGCAACAAGAAGCGTGACAATAAATGTGACGTGTGCCATTTTAAAATGTTTACAGTAATCTGCTGTTTCCTTGTCTGACTTGTTCCCCTGACGAAATGAGCAGGAGACCAGTCTGGGTTTTATTGGTATGACTAAAAGATGAAAGGAAATGTTTTGGCACAAAGGGCGTAAAGAAGTGTAAATTTGAAATATACTAACAATTAGTTCTGGCTTCCTTAACTTTATATGTCGCTTTTTATTTAGTAAATGTCTAGCAGTATTATAAAACCTGTTCGTTGAAGTCTCTTTTAATAGCTAACTAACAATGTAAGGATTTTTTGATGGTTTTAGTCAAAAAATGGGCATACTATGGAATGCCGGTAGGGACATGCCACTTTGCTTATTTGCCAACTTCTGAATTGCTTATTTGCTAATTGCTGATTTGCCAATTTGCTTATTTGCTAATTGCTGATTTGCTTATTTGCTAATTGCTTATTTGCTTATATACATAAATTTGTATGCTATTGTCAGGCGATACGTCCGACTCGCGGAGTACGTTCTTGTTTGATATGAAATAACAAGTCTTTGTTGACTTTATTTCAAGCTCATGAACCTATATCATGTTATTATGTTTATAAAGTTTTGGTGAATTATACTTGGGACAATTATGAGGCAATCCATCATTACCTAGAATATAGGTAGAAAGGCAGATGGATACTTTTTATTCAATTTCGAAAAAAGAAATAAATTCAGTATCAAAAAGTAGTTGTTCTTTTTAATTATCTTGAGTTTCAGTTTTAGCACTAGGGATGCTATTCTATCCACCAAGGCATTGGTTTTCTTGGTAACTTGTTTTTTCTGTCATATCTCTGTTACATTTGCTGATTCATGCATCTTACTGCAACTTTGCATAAACTTTGCGTTACAAGCATGCATACAAAGTACATGAAGAAGCTGTGCCCCTTATATACTGAATGCCAAAGGTCACCAAAGTATTGTACTACAAAGCCTTTGTTTTTTTTGTCAATATCTCTGTTACTATTGCTTACATCTAACTGTAACTTCACATAAGCATTAAATAGGCATCACGCATACACAATATTCAAAGAGGCTTTGTCCATTATACCTAGGTCATGATCATGGTCATGGTCACCTGATGGCAATGTAAAAATGTTTAACATGAAGAAACGGAAAAGTGTGACCGAAATTTTACAGAGCTAAAAACGAAGCCTATTGCTTAAATGCAAAGATAAACACCCATATTTGGCATGCACCAATTGGATCATTCGTCATACTATGTGTTCGTACCACTAAAATGAGGCCCTACATGACAAATCTGCTGAGAATAACGACATTTTATATGCCATAAAATAAGAAATAGTTTTGTTTTCAAGTTCTTTTATTTTTCAATCTTTACCCAATAATTTCACTTATATATGACTATATCAAGTGTTTATTATGCCATAATCTCTGACTTAGGCTGCACAAACAGATCTATAGCTGCAACACATTATAAGGCATTCTCAAGCACAGACGCTGGGGGTCAGATCCTGTCCCCAACGTGATACGCCTCTGTAAAGACTATATCAAAACTATTCTATTATTTATTTTAATACGAATTTGACATCCGTTACAACGATAAAACCATTAAGTACTTTATTGAGACTTGGTGGTATATGGTATTTTTTCATACTGGTATATTAAAAATTGTTTGAAAACCAGTTTTAACGATGTCCAATTCTTGTTTAAATATTAAAATATTTTTAATAGAGTGTTTACAAGGTCACGTATCACGTTGGGGTTCGGGATCTGACCCCAAGCGTCTATAGTTCTCAAGGACATGTCAGCCATCAGTTGTAGACATATATCTGCGTAGGTATCACAGCAATTAAATTCATTGACCAACAGTATTCTTGGAAAAACACTGAATTTACAAGAATACTGTTGGTAAAAGTGAACAGATATGACTCAACTGGTTGTTTTTCATATACTTCCGGCACAGTGTAAACTATTTCTATTGCAAAAAAGCAAATTAGCAATTGGCAAATAAGCAAATACGTTAACCAGCGGTTAACAAATAAGCAAATTAGCAATTCAGCAATTGGCAAATAAGCAAATTTGTCATTAAGCCTATCAGCCATTGGCAAATAAGCAAATCGGCAATTAGCAAATAAGCAATTCAGCAAGTGGCAAATAAGCAAATTGGCATGTCCCTACCGGCATTCCATAGCATACAGTAAATCCAAAAATGTTAGATAATTAAAACAATTGCTGTAAGCCGATGCAAAGCAACCCGGTCCTATTTAGTCAATCCGAACCCTAGGTCAATCTTGTTGGTCTGGGACACAAAGTTTTGTTCCAGCTCTGGTCAACTCGGTCCCATTTTATTTGATTATTAATTTAAGTAATTTTTTCACACTTTTGATTTAAAAAAAAGAAATGTGGATAATAATCAAGATACATGTATTTTACTAGTAAAATAAACGAAGGAAGAGACTTCAAGATGTCTAAAAAGTTTAAAACTTATCATCAGGGTATAAATTTTGATAGGTACTTTTGTACGTTCCCAGTTCCTGTCATCACCTAGCTTTATTTTCCTTTCAAGCAAACGATAAATAAAAGAGCACATTAGTTAATATCAACTTTTCCTAATTTCTGTAAACACAAACATAATGTCAACTAGTTGTAACTACAAACGAATATATAATATGTTCTTTTTGAAACACATTCTGAACATTGCTTGATAACACGTACTAATCTTTTACTATAATCTTCATCTACTTCTACTTCTTTTCTCCCGATTCTGGGTCTGTGCATATAAAGTAGAAACGGCCTTCAGGCTGTTGCAGACAGCGCTTTTGATCGGTATGTATCAAAGATATGTTTACAAGACAAAAACACAAAGTAAGTCATAAATTATTTTTATGCTTATTTAAATAAATTAAATTGTTTAAACACCTGCTATATATACACCATACCTTGATATCCGGCAGCAGTTCCTAAGATAAAAATATAAGTAAAAACATTTCATCAAATAGAACGCTCACAATATTAACGATCTAGTACACGGGCATTCAGTAAATATTGATATATTACAATCATTCATTTTCGATTAAAAAATATTGTTCGATATTTAAAGAAAATGTCGTCATAACAATTAACTGAAAAGTTAGTTTTCTTCTCATTATGGTTCAAGTGAGTTCATAATTTTTGAATAGTCGAAGTTTTGATATCCCAATAAATAATCTAAATGACAATTTTTATTGTCTGGAGCCAAACTCCAATACTATTGGTCGGATTGACTCCAAGCTTGGTATGCATGCTCCTTTCAATGACCTGAAGTGCAGCACAAGAATCTTCACACTGCACTTCTTATTTTTTGAGTTATTGCCCACTGTTAATTTTCATACTTTATTTTATCCGGGCCAATTCTCCTAAGCTTAAAAAGCTATTGACTTGAAACTTCATATGATGACGAATTCATCTCATTGAAAAGAAGTGCAGTGCACAAAAAAAAAATATTTTGGGTCCGACTTAACTTGGGTCCGGGTTGACTTGGGGCGGATTAGGTATTTTTTCTGTAAGCAGGTCGATTCCAATATCCGTTTTCAATTTTCGCAAAATGTAGAAAAAAAACTTGCAATGAATCCCTGGACTTATCCTTTTATTAATATGACTGAAACATGAACGCATTTTTTATATATATTTAAAATTTATAAATATATTTATATGCAACTTGTAAGATTAAATTCTAACGCAAGCATTGTTACATAATATTAAATCCTGAGAATCAACACAAGTGCACAAGGATGATTTTATACAATGAGTTTCATCAGGGCCCTTGAAAAATATCGGTGGACTAAAATAATACACATTGACTATAATTTAAAACCTTTTTTCTGTTTTCTTTTTTAAAAATCATCGTAGAAAATTGGAATTAAATCTATAAGAGAACATTGTATAAGCACAAACTATACAATTGGCTATATGTTACGGTATAAATATAATATATTTTTACTAAAGCCCTGCGAGAAAAGTCTGAAATACACTTAGAATTAGTTAAAAATCTAATTGCATCAGATTGAAGTATTGTCTTGAGACGATTACTTTAGTTAGGAAATACTGATCATCATACTTGAGCACCGTGATTCGTTTTATGGCGGTTGTGGGGGTCTGTGACAGCCAAATAAGAATCTCCGTTGCTATATTTTAGTCATACCCGATCACATTGTGTTTAGCTACTTCCCCCAAGAAATGCACGATGCATCTCGGGTGATGAAGCTTTTTAATGTTTTTAATGAAAGATTCATCTTCCATCACCCGACCGTGCCGACTTTTAGAACGGTTGGGGAAATCCTGTGGAAGAAGCAGCCCGACCAAAAACCCTAAATGTGATGAGTAATTGAAAGAGTACATTGTTCAATTCGTATTATGAGTTTGAATCAGGTGTCCGACAAGGAACAGGTGTCGAGACAATAAAATATATCGGCCGTTATTTCCTTATATCAATCATTTAATTTTACTAATTGGTTTAAATGATAAGCATCCAGGAAGAAAGTTGGCTATGATTATTTTGGCAATATTCATCTTTATTCCGATAATAATACTTTCTAAATGTTGATTAAGTTATGATGTGTTTTGGCGAAAATTTGATGTTTTACTACCTTGGATGCAAAATGAACAGCTAGAGTTATTAGTCCAATAGATGTAGACGTTACAGCTATGTTATAGTTTATGTTGGATCAAGCCCCTTACGTCTAATAGTTATTGCTCTCAAAAAACGCGTTTAAAGCATTCTTGAAAAAATTTAAAAATGTCTGTTGACCTTGCCCTTTGAGGGCTTTATTCAAGCCTATCTTCTGAAATTACTTTCAATTGACATGGTCTTATCATTAACAAAACTTAAAACAATGTTACTTATCAATTAAAACATAAATTGATAAATATCACCGTCTTATTGTCGCTCATCGGCCATACGTGGGTTAAGTAAAGCGTTTTACAGATATTCAATTTTTTGAAGCGCGAAAAATATATAGATTTGAACACACTGCACCCGGATGCCAATAGGGCGCAATTATTATCGTTAGAAAAAATATTACCGATTAGAAAACTTCTGGACTCATTAAACGCTTGCATTTGAATA